AGGCTCACAGAGGCCGTGGCCAAGCTCGACAGGGCTCAGGTGGGGACTGACTCATTAGCAGCCATCCTGCCTCCCCCTCTCCCTGCTGTGCCGTTTCCCTTCGGCTTTCCTTATTGATTTATGGATTCACTGACTAAATTATATTGGTTTCTCCAGGGAAACTCTGACGCGGTGAGTTCCCGCCAGGTGGCTTGGCCGGGGGACAGGGGGCTACGACAGAAGGCGGCAGCCGGCGGCCCGTGAGGTCCGAGAGGATGGCGCCGCGGGCCTAGAGCACCGGCTTGTCAGCTAAGACCCTCAGGAGCCTGGGCTGAGCAGGCGGTTTGCAGCCTGGAGCGCAGATATGAACAAACAGCCCCCTGAGCAGCATCTGCCCGGCTGTGTCTCAGGAAGGCGATGGGGCTGTCATCTGTGTTGGAACAGGGCAAGTCCAGCAGACAGACGTGCTCTGGGGGAGGAGGGCCAGTGGGGGAGACACAGCCTGTCAGGGAACCCCAGTCTGAGGGGACACAGCCCTGTCCTCAGGGAGCCCCAGTCTGAGGGGACACAGCCCTGCCCTCAGGGAGCCCCAGTCTGAGGGGACACAGCCCTGCCCTCAGGGAGCCCCAGTCTGAGGGGACACAGCCCTGTCCTCAGGGAGCCCCAGTCTGAGGGGACACAGCCCTGCCCTCAGGGAGCCCCAGTCTGAGGGGACACAGCCCTGCCCTCAGGGAGCCCCAGTCTGAGGGGACACGGCCCTGTCCTCAGGGAGCCCCAGTCTGAGGGGGACACAGCCCTGTCCTCAGGGAGCCCCAGTCTGAGGGGACACAGCCCTGCCCTCAGGGAGCCCCAGTCTGAGGGGGACACGGCCCTGTCCTCAGGGAGCCCCAGTCTGAGGGGGACACAGCCCTGTCCTCAGGGAGCCCCAGTCTGAGGGGACACGGCCCTGTCCTCAGGGAGCCCCAGTCTGAGGGGACACGGCCCTGTCCTCAGGGAGCCCCAGTCTGAGGGGACACGGCCGTGTCCTGTAGGGACCAGCAAGGTGAGGGGAAGGCGCCACCCAGAAGGCAGGCTGCAGACCGAGGCAGCTCTGACCTGGGGCCTCAGCCCGTAGACTGCGGCCGGGCCTCAGGCAGGTGCGGGAGGCAGACTGCAGTCCTGCCCTCACTCAGGTGCGGTGCTGGGTGCGGCCCTGCCCTGCGGGGCCCCTTCCTCTTCTGCAGAACCACCCGGTGGTGGGCCTGGTCCCAGGGAGAGGGCCCTGCCTGAGGGGAGCCCACCTTCTCCGAGGCCTGTGCAGGTCTCTGCTAACCCACAGCCGCTGAGGCGGTTCCCCCACCCCCAGCTCGGGAGAGAGGCCTCAGTGCTGCTCTCAGGTGCAGGCTCGGCTGCCGGCTGACCTGGCTCTTTCCCGCGGGAGGGCACTGGGGACCCCCGGTGGGACGCGGTGCTGGTGGAGCGGTGCCAGGGCAGGGGGTCAGGCAGGGGCGGCAGCGAGCTGGGCTGCTCCCCATGAGATGAGGAGGTGTGGTGGGCTGGTCTCGGGGTGGGCTGTGACGTGCAGTCAGTGGGGTTGGGTTGGAGCGAGAACTCTGCCGCTGGTGGGGAACCCGTTCTCTCAGCGGGCGCTCCCTCCCAGCCTCCTCAGCTGACAGGGCCCCTGCACCCTCCACATGTGACCCCGGAGTGTGTCACATGTCACAACGCCCTTCCGGGGACCTCTTGGCCCATAGGTCAACGCTCAATCACACCAGCTGGGCTGGACCTTTTTTTAGAGCCTCAGGTTTTATTAAGTAAAAATATGAACGCTTCTTGACTTGGTGTGTCATCCTCATGCAGGCGCCTTGTGAATCTCCGTGTTCCAATTTTAGTTCACGTGCTGCCAGAGCAAGCACCACAGATGGCTCTGCAACATGTTAGACACCAAACTCCAGTCATGAGAGAAGTGGGAATTAAAACAACCATGAGATACTATTTTTTTTAGTCCTCACCCAAGGATATGTTCTTTTGAGAGAAGCATCGATGTGAGATCAATCAGTTGCCTCCCGTACTCGCCCTGACAGGAATTGAACCCACCATCTTTTGGTTTACGGACGACACTCCAACCAACTGAGAAGGGACCCAGGATACTCTTTTGCATGGATCAGCTTTCCCTTACCTATCCTCTGTTCCCTTACCTATCCTCCATCAAACCTGTGCGGTGTGGCTGTGGGGAGTGGCTCTCGCAGGTGTGGCTGCCCAGCTCTGAGGAGAGATGCAGAAAGGGTCTGAGGTGCTCACCCTCTGGCTCAGGAATGCATCTTTGAGGGATTTACCCTCGAGATGGATCCATAACATGAAGGACGACACGTGCATGGTTGTATTAACAGGAGACTAGGAAGCCCCAAGCGCCCACCATGGGGAAGGCACAGTACCCCAGGCACCATCTGCACAGTGGACACCATGCAGCTCACCGAACACCTGACAACACTCCCCACTGGCAGATATCAAACATCTTCAAGACATTGTTAAGGGTAAAAAGACAGTAGTATAGTATAAGCCGGATCACTCAGTGGATACGGCATTGGCCTGTGGACTGAAGGGTCCTGGGTGTGATTCTGGCCAAGGGCTCATACCTTGGTGGCAGGCTGGATCCCTGACACTGGTCAGGGTGTGGAAGACAACGCATTGATGTGTCTTTCTCACATCCATGTTTCTCTCTATCTCTCTCCCTCCCTGCTTCCACTCCTTAGAAAAGAAAAAAAAAAAAAAAAAAAGACAGTAGTATATAATGCTGCTACTTGGGTTTAAAAAAAAAAAAAGCAAACCAGGAAGAAGAACATTGAGGGACCCCACGTTTGCTGTCCCTGCACGAAGCCCCCACGAAAGAATAGACACGTTGGCCATGGTTGGGGTGGGAAAGGACTGGAGGCCCAGGGATGAGAATGAGGGGAGTTTTATTGCATGAAGGAGATTTTTTAAAATATATTTTATTGATATTTTTACAGAGAGGAAGGGAGAGAGGGATAGAGAGCTAGAAACATTGATGAGAGAGAAATATCGACCAGTCGCCTCCTGCACACCCCCTACTGGGGATGTGCCCGCAACCAAGGTACATGCCCTTGACTAGAATCAAACCTGGAATCCTTCAGTCCGCAGGTTTGCACTCTATCCACTGAGCAAAACCATTTTTGGCACATGAAGGAGATTTTACTTAGAAGCTAAATATGAAAATCTATTTATATTGTCTTTATTTTTAATATATATATTTTAATTATTGTCTTTATAGAGAGAGAAGGGGGGAAGGGGAGAAACAATGATTTCTTTTAAAAAAATATATTTTATTGATATTTTTACAGAGAGGAAATGAGAGGGATAGAGAATTAGAAACATTGATGAGAGAGAAACATTGACCAGCTGCCTCCTGCACACCCCCTACTGGGGATGTGCCCGCAACCAAGTACATGCCCTTGACCAGAATCGAACCTGGGACCCTTCAGTCCGCAGGCTGACGCTCTATCCACTGAGCCAAACCGGTTTCGGCAACAATGCTTTCTTATTCCACTCATTTATGCATTCATTGGTCGATTCTTGTATGTGCCCTGGCTGGCGTACTAGGATGCTGCTCTACGAACTGACAGCTACCCATAGGGCAGATATCCCGTTTTACAGTGCAATTACCATTTCTATTTTAAACAAGTACAGGCTCTCTATTCTTGTGTTGTAGAAGTGTGCTATCACTATGGAATGTGCTGTTCACGTGCAACGTAAACAATTTTTTTTTTTACTCAAGATAACATGCATAGAGTCAGGTGCGCCAATCTCAAGCATGCAGCTCGATGGCTTCTGACACATGCAGGCCTGGGTAACTTCCCTCAGGACAGGTGGAGCATAGCCAGCCCGCCCGATGGGGAGGGGAGACCTGTCACTATAGAGATGTTCCTCCTCTTGAATCCTGAACCCACATGAACATACGGCTGCTCTAACTAAATACCTACATGAATACAGAAATGCAGTTATGTGGGTGCATCCTTCAGTGAGTAAGGAGTGTCCGCCCAGCTGGACAGTTCATGTGGACAGTGAGCAAACGGTGAGCAAAGCGAGGGGCAAGCCTCCTCCCCTGTGCAGGCCCTGGCACATCTGTTGAGAACTGATCTGGCCAGAGGGGGTCTTGGTCCAAAGGGGGAGATGAATTTGGAGAGGGGGCTGGGCTGGAGTCTGTCCCACAGTCACCTCGGTCCTGTTGCTCTGACCAGCTGCCATGGTTCTAAGAAATCGTTGCATGTGGGGGTGGGGGGGTGTGGATGGATGATCTCTACACCCCCCACTTATTTGCTTATTGATTTATCATCTATCTCACCCCCCCTGAACAGGGCGGGTGGGGAACATCCAGCTGTGGCTCAAGCCCGAAAAATCATTTGGCCTGGCCCTGCCAAGGCATAAGGGATGAGTTAATTAAATGTTTGACCAAATGTTACAGGCTAATTTCTGAAAAATAACTATTTTTTTAAAGAGTATATTTTTGTTGATATCAGAGAAGGAAAAGGAGAGAGAGTTGAAAATATCAGTGATGAGAATCATTGGCTGCTTCCTGCACGTCCCACACTGGGGATTAAGCCCACAACCTGGGCATGTGGCCTTAATCAAAATCAAACTCAGGACTCTTCAGTCCCCAGTCTGATGCTCTATCCACTGAGCCAAACCGGCTAAGGCCAGCAGGCTCATTTTTAAGTTAATAATTTTGTATGGCCCGCAAATGATGTTATAAATATCCAAATGGCCCTCGGCAGAAAGAAGGTTCCCCACCCCTGGCTCCAGAACATAAGTTCCAGCAAGGCGGGGCACTGGCTCTCTGGGGTCACTGCTCCATCTTCGGGGCCTAGAACACTGGCTGGCACATAGCCGGTGCACAGCAAATATTACCGAGAGAGCAAATGAATGAATGAATGAATGAATGAATGAGCCTGCGGTGGGGGCGGGGGGAAACTGGCACCTGGTGAAAAGTCTGAGCAGCCCTCTCAAGCTGTCTGCTTCTCCTCCAGTCGCATCAAGAGCAACGTGGACGGGAGGTACCTGGTGGACGGCGTCCCCTTTAGCTGCTGCAACCCCAACTCGCCGCGGCCCTGCATCCAGTACCAGCTCACCAACAACTCGGCGCACTACAGCTACGACCACCAGACGGAGGAGCTCAACCTGTGGCTGCAAGGCTGCCGGGCCGCCCTGCTGAGCTACTACAGCAGCCTCATGAACTCCATGGGCGCCCTCACGCTCCTCGTCTGGCTCTCTGACGTAGGCTCCGGGCCCGGGGCGCGGTGCAGGGGAAAGGGAGCCGTCAGCCCATTTGGATTTTGCATTTTATTTTTACTTTTAAATCCTCACCTGAGGATACTTTCACCATTGATTTTTCAGACAGAGTGGGAGGAAAAAAGGGGAGAGGGTGTGTGGCATCAGTGTGAGAGAGACACATTAATTGGTTGCCTCCTGCACTTGCCCTGACCAGGGTCAGGAGTTGAACCCACAAGCGAAGTATGTGCTCTTGACTGGGAATTGAACCCACAACCCTTCGGTCCGTGAGCTGATGCTCTGAGCAACCAGCCAGGGCCTATTTGGATTTAAAGGGAAGAAACTGGGTCTGGAGCACATGCCTTCCTCCTTCCCTCCTTGGAGCCAGCCCTCTGCCTGGCGTGGGTCAGGAAGGCCAAGGCTTGAACCCCAACACCCCTGTTCTCCCTTATTAAAAAATAACTTACTGAGGTGAAATTCATAGGACATAAAACCAACCATTTTGAAGTGAACAATTCAGAACATTCACAATGTTAAGCCACCACCACCTCTATCTAGTCCCCAAACACGTCCATCGCCCCCAAAGAAAACTGCACACCCACTAAGCAGTCATTCTTCAACCCTCCAGCCCAAGTCCCAGGCAGCCCCCAATCTGGGGTCTGTCCTTGTGGATCTATTTCATATAAATGGAATCATGTATTAGGTGACCTTTAGTCTGGCTGCTTTCACTTTGCATGCTTTAGAGGTTCAGCTGTGCCTCCACTTTTTGGTGTGAGGTCTTGGAAAGTGCTTTACCTCCCTGTTATATGGGCTGACAGCACTTAGCTCTGGGCCCACTCAGTAGGTATGGGCGAATGTTCAGCAAATGCGAGCTCTTTGGATCCATGCTTCTTTTGAGATATAGATCGCCGTTTACCTGCTATTCTCATTATTTGTGGCTTCACCTCAGCTGTGAGGCCTAATTCCTCTCCGTAGCCACAGGGCTTGGGATGTAGGAAGCCCTCAGTGAACGCTGAATTCACTTATTGAAGGGATTTCACAAACCTACTGCACTCCGGGCACTGTCCTGGGTGCTACATGGGAGTGTGCATCAGTGAGTGGTAGACACGGTGGCACGGGGGGAGACGTGGGTTCCTGCTTTGAGCTGAAGAAAATCCAGACTCCAAATTCTAAGTGTACAAAGTCAGAGACATTAGGTGGGGAAACTTTCTGTCAGAGAAGATTCACTGAATGGTTCCTTTAAGTCTCTCTCTTCCCCTATGGAAATGCTCATGCAGCTGTGCCCTTGGCTGACAGTCCAGCAGCCACGTTCCCAGAGGGGCTGTGCTCCCTGAGGGTGTTCGGGGAGGGAGGGCTTCCTTTCATGTTGAGGCAGAGTCTTGGGAACGAGTGGGTAGAATTAGGAGAGAAGCTACTGCCAGGAGGCTGGGACCCCTGACTGCCTCTCAGTGCAGCACCTTTTCAGGAACCAGCTCACTGTACATGGAGCTCAAGTACCCCTACTTTTACTTGAGGTATTTCATGGGCAGAGCTTTGTGATGGGCACAAAGGTGGCTGGGTTAAGATAGGCTTCTGTCCTGAGCTTTGCCCTCCCGGACTTCACAACCCTGTTAACTGATGACATCTAAGGCATGAACCTAAGGGAACCATTACCAAGGGCAAAACTCAGTGCAGCCGTGGGCCGCCTTCGGGAAGGCAGGAGGGCATCACAGTGGTACATGCAAGAAGAGGACTTGCACTGTTAAATTTATTAAACTTTCAATGGACCATAACAATAACTTAAACTCTATTAGTTACTGATACCATCTACTACCATAATTATAAAATGCCCATAGAGTAGCCATTTTCAACCTTTTCCATTTCATGGCACACATAAACTAATTATTAAAATTCTGTGGCACACCAAAATTTTTTTTCTGATCTGACCAAAAAAAAAAAAAAAAAAAAAGGGTAATTTTGATTCACTTACACCGGACAACTAGGGTTGTGTAGCTGTTGTCTTTTTTTTTTTTTTTTTTTAATATTTGACAATCTAAGGGAAAAGAGGTCAGTGTCCCTGAATTAACAGTGAGATGTCACAGCATGTTTTATACATTCTTGCAACACATGGGTTGAAAATTGCTGCCCCATGGCATTCATTCAACAGATGTTTACTGAGGCCCTCCCGCCAGCCAGTGTGGTCCAGTGCATTTCACTGGGTGAACGAGACTGAGCAGGGTCACCTGCCTCGGGGCGAACGCTCTCCATTAGCAGGCCCAGTCCCCTCAGAGTTTGCTATGCCCTAAAAGGAGAAGCATATGAGGGTACGCCAGGACTTTGTGTAGAAACAAGTGGCTAACACAATACAATAGACAGCTGGAAACAATACTCCCCACATTGACTAATGACCGACTACCGCTGACCCCTCACCGTGCACCAGGTGCCACGGCCTACACATACCGAAGTGTCACAGCGCGCACACGGGGCAGGCGACACTTCACCTGAAAATCTGCAAACCAGATGAGTAAACAGGGTTCCTCGTCACGTGGTTAACTCGGCCCCCAGGCATTTTGTCACCAGCGTCTGCCCCAGTGATTACTAGTGAGCAAATTTGAACAAACCACCCATTCACCCCCCACACTACTGACGATGACAGAGGTAGAGAAAACCACACAGCACACTGTTTGCAGAGAAGGAGGTCATTTAAAAATCCCTTCCAGCAAATAGCTACTGGATTCCCAATGTGTACCAAACAGTATGTTAGGAACTGGGGACACGGGGGCGAAGAGGGGCACAGAGAGAAGGAGCCCAGGCCTAATGCCCCCAGGACAGGAGAGACCCGAGAGGATGGGGAAGAACAGGAGCTGAAGCTGAATTAACAGGTGAATGTGGAGGAACAATATTCAAGGCACAGAAAGTAGCAATGGCACAGACCGGGGAAGAGAAAGGCTGGGGTGCGGAGGGACCTAAGGCAGCACAGGTGGCTGGAGAGGGAGGGGGAAGAGATTGAGGTTGGATAGGGGCTGGTGTCTTGAGTGTCCCAGCGATACTCCTCAGAGCCCGCCTCATTGAAGGGCCCCAGTCACGAACAGCCAAGGGCTCCCTGGTTTCCCGGCAGCCCCGATCCCGCCACTCCTCCCAGACCTCCCCTAAGTCTCCTCTCCCGCCAGGTGACCGCCACGACCGGGCTGCGCTACCTGCACACGGCCCTGGAGAGTGTGTCCAACCCCGAAGACCCCGAGTGCGAGAGTGAGGGCTGGCTGCTGGAGAAGAGCGTGCCGGAGACCTGGAAGGCCTTTCTGGAGAGCCTGAAGAGGCTAGGCAAGAGCAACCAGGTGGAAGCCGAGGGCGCAGACGCGGGCCCGGCCCCAGAGGCTGGCTGACGGCCCCCGGGGCCCCTCCTTCCCAAACACTGGGAAGTAACGGGCTCCAAGGCATTCGGACACACACCCTCATTCAATCTGAAGGTCCTGAGGAGGACGGCCATCTCACAGACTCTCCCTGATGGTGGGATGGAAAGTGTAGGGTCTCTACAAGCATCTGTCAAACATTTGTTGAATGAATGACTCAGAATGTGAAGACGGAGCCCCTCAGACCCACTGCCCCGGCACACGGGGCCTCCGGGGTCTCTCCCACAGCATCCATCTCAGTCCACCCTGAGGCTCCTGGCCACACCAAGCACTGCTCCCCTTTGCTGAGTCTGCCATTATAAGCTCCAAGAGGCTTCCCTCTATATCCAAAGCGTCACCACGTGCATAAGCACAGGAGTCGGAAAAAAATGTACTGGCCACGTTATTTTAAAAAATGCCAAGACCGACAGGTGAGCCATTTTATCTGCTTAATGGCGGTAAGTGGGGACAATTATACTCTTGTAAGAGTACTGGACTCTCCAAATTAGGGAGGGCTCAAAAGAAGAATTCTCCAATGATGAGGCAAGAGCATTTAAAAACAGAGCATTATTTCTCCCCACCAAAAACGCAGGTGAATGCCTGCTCTTGTCTCAGTCACGTGCCCTCACTTGGCCAGGAGTGAGATCTGGGTTGGAGGAAGTCAAGCTGTTGTCATGTTCCAGCAACATCCCACCCCGAAAGGTCGGGGTGGCCTCCTCTGGCCCTTCCGTGGAAGAGGAGCAACAACCAGACAGAAGTCTACCCTTTGGAGACCAGGCCTCACCTGGTGGTGGGCCCAGGGATGCCCGCACGGGTGGCCGTGTCGGCCCCCGTGGGCAACACTAATTGTCTACAATGGAGGGCAGAGTCCTCGGGGAGCTTCTTCCTGTTTCTATCCCCAGACAGCCATCCTCCAAAGCAATATTCCCGGGATGCCTCTGCATTAAAGAGGATTCTTCGAGACAGCCCATCTTCCTGAGCTAGCAACTGCAACACAAGTTTTCAGCTCCTTCAGGAAAAAGAGAGAAAGGAAGCTTTTTTAGTTGAAGGAGAGAGTGATTCCATCGCTGTCCTGAGTGTTTGGTGTGGAGAAAGCAGGACTTTTGGTGCTGCCTGGGTTTGTTCTGTAACTTTCCCATGCTTAAGACCCACCAAAGGTGTTTGGCCACTGAGATTTTGGTCCCAGGTTTAATTCGACTTGATTCCGGAGCCCTCTTTCCTCTCAGGAGTGCTGAGAACCACCGGGAAAATGCTCTAGGCCCAATGTGTAACTAAGCTGTACAATAGACATTAAAAATTACATTGTTTGAAAACCACTGTGTATAGTATGAAAATGTCTATCTTAGCCCATTCACTAGCACCCCCAACTTTACCTAATATATAAATATATGTATTTAATATTTTTATTGATTTCAGAGAGGAAGGGAAAGGGAGTGAGACATAGACACCAATGATGAGAATCACCGTCAGGCTGCCTCCTGCATGCCTCACACTGGGGATTGAGCCCACAACCTGGGCATGTGCCCTTGACTGGAATCAAAACAGGGACCCTTCAGTCTGTAGACCAGCTAGGGCTCTACCTAATATATATATATATTTTTAACAAAACCAAACCTGACTTTGAACAGAAGCACTGTTCATGACCAGGGGAGCTGTGTTTCAACAGCATGGGAGTCACCTCCTTCCTGCCTTCTTACTCTCTTACCTCCAAGAAAGTGACTATCAATTTATCCAAATAATCTCAACATTTTGCTAGAGTCTGGACCACAGCTGAATTTATCTAATCACTATAGTGATTTAAGTAAAAATTCCAAAGCATTTCCCCCCCTGGTCAAAAGGTATTTTCCCAAACAGAGAATATGAATCTCAATGGGGCCAGGTATAAGCAGCTTTATGGTCTAAGGACCAAGGACTAACTGACCCTCCAATAATTATCACCAATTGGTTCAGAGCAGACTTAGGGTGAGCAGACTCAGGGAGCCATCAGTGCCAGAGAAAGCTGGCCTGCCTCCTTTGGTCATCGACCAGTGCCCAGCAGAGACCTGGCACCAGGTTCTCCCTGGTGTCTAACTTCATTCTTTCCTTGGGCCAGGACAAATTCATGTCAACCAAGGGGCTCCAAGATTTCAAAGTCCTGCTAGCCTAGCCCTGGGCTAGGGTGAGAGGTAAAGAGTGCCTTAGTAGTTTTATTTTTAAAACACTTACTCCACAGTGTAGAAGTATGCAATGCTTATTCTGAACATTTAGGAAGGTGGATTTTCTAGAATTTGTGGCCTCAGCTCAATAACCCCTAGTTTCTTGCAACACATTAAAACCAGGACCGAGCCACCAGTAGCAAATAAACCCTGAGTAACCCCAATACGGGTTAATAAGATTAGCTGCTTGCTCTGCACGCTGCCCTGCCCCCCTCTTCTGGGCACCTGTGGTGCTAGGCCAGAAGGTTTGCAGCTTAGCCTCGTGGCGGGGTGTGTGTGTGTGTGTGTGTGTGTGTGTGTGTGTGTGTTGGGGTTGGGGGGAGGGGTAGGGGAACCAAAGCAATTAGGGCCTCGGACCTGCACTAGATAAGAAGATAGCTGATGACAGCACGGCCAGCCAGTTGCACTGTGTTGGGAATAGGGATGTGGGGGGATGGGGATGCCTTCCCAGTCCTCAGGGGACTTGAGATTGGCTTGTAGGGAGGGTGTATCAGTCTTTAACTCCTGATGCACTCTCTTTCTTGACGTCCAGAGGATGAGTACAAATAGCAAAATTACAGAATGTAGTACAAGGACGGTGTGGGTTAAGTTATATATAAAGTGAAATGAAAACTTAGGTCCAAACAAAAACCTATACATGAATGTTTATAGTGGCTTTATTTATAATCATCAAAAATCGCCCAAATGTCCTTCACCTGGTAACTGCACAAGCACTACCTGGTGATATAAACACTCGAAGATAAAGGGTGCGTGTGTTATTTCATGTAAATTCTTCTGCTGTGTGTGCACAATTCAACAGCCTGTATTACAGGATTCCCAACTCTTTGGCAACCAAAGGAAATATAGATGATCCTCAAACACATGCCTTTTTTTAAAATCGTCACTTGAGGGATATTTTCCCATTGATTTTTAGAGCGGAAGGGAGAGGGAACAGAGAAACATTGATATGAAAGAGACAAATTGATTGGTTGCTTCCCACATGTGCCCCAACAAGGGCTGGGAGCCTGAAACAGAGATACGTTGAATTGAACCTGGAACCTTCAGTCCACATGCCGATGCTCTGCCCACTGAGCCAAATCAGCTAGAGTTGCATGCCTTCTTTGCGAGAGAAGCAGACTCAAAAAGCTCCATAAGATAGTTATATAACATTCTGGAAGAGGCAAGGCAAAGATATGGGGAAAGAATTAGTGGTTGCCAGGGGTCAGGATGGGAGAGGCGACCGCAAAGGGGCATGGGAGAGCTTGGGTGATGGAACTATTCTATTTCTTAATTATGGTTTCTGTTAAACAAACCTCAAAAAAACCTGACTTGGAAAACAATATTAGGAACAGAACAAGGAGTGTGTCACAGGGCTTAACGAGCCCTGGAACTGATGCACTAGGACCAGGGGAGAGAGGAAGTTGGAAGCAGCATTAATGACAGGGATAGTACAATGAAAACCTGCTTTTCCAGTGTGATCCATTCCTCTGCAGAGGATTTTAAAACGTACAGAAAAAAAAAAAAAAAAAAAAAAAAAAGAGTACAGCAGAGCTCTCATAGGCAATGCTTCCCTGGCACTGGATGCAACTCCCTTCCTACCCAGCTCTCTCCTAAGCACAAAGTGTCTGGGGAGTGTGTACGAACAAGACTGGGATCAAGTAAGGATGAGCAAAAGGAGTTTTCACCTGGAGACAGGCCTTAGAGTTGGGAGAGACTCTGAGTGCCCCCTTTTCTCATGACTTGAGGTCCATATGGCTTAGAAAGGTTACAAGCTGTCATAGCCAATTAACAGGAAACTTAATCAGCTGAAATGATGACCAAGCTTTCTATGGGAAGGTCAAGATCGACTGGCTAATGGCCATAACAGACACTAATAACATAAGCATCTTAAATGCCAAGCTAATACCGATGTCCCACTTTGTTTATAGCAAGGTGACATGGGGAATACTTCCAGGGTATTTAAGTGTGAAACAAAATGAAAATGTAGACAGACCCAAAGTAATGTCAACACCTAAAGCATTTATTTGGATATCTTTAAGCTTTTTACATATGATACATTCCAAATTTTACAAGTTTTCCACAGATTAATTAAAGTTATAGCCAATTTATTAAACAGATAAGATTTTCCCTGATATAGAAAGCATGTTACATAAACATTTCCACAATAAACATAATACATGCGGAACAAATCAAAATACTAAGTTGATTCATTAGGTAGGGAAGACAATTAGCTTAATGATGCAAACATTATTTCATCTTTTAAATTTATCTTCTCTCAGATTCTGACATTTTCAGAGTGAAATTCAGGGATGACATCCCCAGTCCTAAAAGCTGGAAAATGCTTATGATTTGGTGAAAATGTCCATAATCCATTTACGAGGGAGAGACCAGACCTGGTCTTCATCATTTTAAATTGAACATTATTGAGAAAATCCAAAAGAAGCTGGACTTAAAAGCTAAAGGAATGAGGATGTGACAAAAGCCAAAATAAACATTAATATCATTATGCCATCCACAGTCCAAACCATCAGATCTTACCAATGGCAAAAAGGCCAGGGGAAAGGGGAGAGCACTAGGTTCTAATCTAGATTTTCTTCCTGTTGGGTGAGAAACGCTTCCTCTCATCTGGGTGAGTCAGTCCCAAGCAAGAAGGGTCAAGGTCATCCTTCCAGAAGACTACCTAGGAGAGGGAGCAGTGACTGCAGCTTCGGCATCCCCACTTATTTTACCCCGAAGCCAGGAGTCTACCTTCCTGCTGGGCACACTGTGGAGGGTGTGATGGAGCTTTTAGATGCAGTTCAAAGAACACCGAGTGAAAGGATTACTGGCATCAGCTGAAAAAAAATCCAAGAGCCTTTCACTGTCCATTTGTCCCTTAGCATCACCTCAGAGAGGCTCCGACTTTATTCCTCCACAAGTCTGCCATCAATCTGTGTGTACCAAGCTCTCGGCACATGTACATCAAACTGAGTGGCCATGGGGTATATAATAGTTATAATCAATTTTACTAAGCGCCTACCATTCTAGGAAGGCACCTCTTAGTAAAAACAGTAATGTTTAAAAAGAATACAAAGCCTGGGCACACAGGCTGTCCCAGGAATGTACTAAGTGAGCCAGCACGTAATCAGCGATCCATCTTTCCAGGAAATGCAAGTGGGGAAGGGGGTACGGGAACTTCAAAACACAGTCCTTTTTTTTTTTTTTTTTCCTGCTCATGTTTGATTCTAGATGCATACACTTCTCCATTTAGTCTTAGAAATAAAAGAATATGTTGTCTGAAAAATTAGGATACTCTATAACTTTTCAAAAAGCCCTTTAAAATGAGTTTTTCTCTCTCAAAGTCAGAAGTCTTGCCAAAGAAAATAAAATAAAAAATCCAACCTTTCAGTTCTGAGAACCGCCCAGCATTTGAAGAAACAACTGCCTCCCCTTCCTCACAGGTTTTCTCCGACAGCTGGTGCAGACCAGGGAAAGCTGCTTTACAAATCCACTGCTTTGCTCTTAGAGGTAGGGTCCGTCAGCAGAGGGGACACCAACCTAGTCCATGGTGAGTCACTGAGCGGGACTAGGAGGTGTGACCCCAACAGACCAAAGACTGTTTCCTCCTGCTGGTGAGTCAGCTTCAGGCTTAGAGTGCCCTGTGGTCAGTTCTGTAACGTGGCTCAGATGACTGGGAACGGTCAAACGCAGTCAGGTACCACAGAGGGTCTGTGTCCAGCCCAGGAAGAGAAGCTCCTTGCAAGAAGTTATGTTTGAGGATACAGCAAATGATTCAAGAAAATATGCCTATGGAAGATGATTTTCATCAGTCCCTAGAGCCAGAAACTATATATATAAAAAAAAAACAAAAAAAAAAAACTGGGAAGAAAAGCGTAGCTAAACAATTTATTTCCAAATCCAGTGGAACTGATTTCCTATTCTTTTTCTTGAAAAGCTGCTGGGTTACAAAAATCCGAGTTTATGTTTTTGGTGGCGCATGACTATAAATGTTGCCAGTCAATGCCAACCAGTGTCTGATTTGCTTCCTGTGCATGTCCAATTTCCTCTGTGATACTGTGCTGGTGCCAGAGCTTCTGAATCTTCTTAAATCGCTCTTTGCACAAATGTAAAGGATTTCCCCGTCTAGAAAGAAGACAGATGTCACTCTGGATGCATTCTGTTTATTCATCTATTTTTCCCAGCCTTTCCCGGTTTAGGAAAAGTTATAAGTTATTGCTTTTAGATCCTCTGCAAAATTTCTGTTTGGTAGGCGACTGTGGTTATTAAGACGTTAGTTTTGCAGGTTTGCTAGGAGAAGCTGAAAGGGAATAAGTGCTGAAAAGAAGAGGAAAAGGCACACGAGCTATACTCCCTCAGACAGGGCTGAGGGAACAAGGGCAGGGCTGAGCAGGAAGTCTGGGTTGAAAAGTTAAAACTACCAATTCATTGGCCATTTCGTTAGTTGAATGTAAAAAGAAGGGAGGGGCAGGGAGAGGACAGAAGGCAAATTACAGGGGTACACATGTTCCCTGCACAGAGTCCTATCTTTCAGCCACAAAGTCTAAGCAAAGCAGCCAAATGTAAGTAACACCTGGGCCTAATATAGTTAAGCACAGGTTTTGGAGTTCACGCCTGGGGCCGCTGGTCCCGATTCATAGGACACATTCCTCTCACTCTCTGACCAGTGCTCCTCTAAGAGCCCACACTCCGTAGAGAAGAGGAAAACCATCACCAGGTTGCATGTGCCTAACAACCTTGCAGCCAAGGACCTGGGGCAGCCCATCTACTTATTCTGCCTGTTTCAGACCTTGAACTTCTGATCCTCAAGGTTGGATGGTTATATCTAGGTTAAGACTTACCTTCTTTGGGCAAAAAGAGATGGTCTAACAAATTTTTAATAGTACTTGAGGGAACTACTATAAGCATTTTGCTTATGATAGAAGTTACCATAGAAGTGATTAAGCCTGTAGTATTGCTCTATACACTGAGTGGCCAGATTATTATGATCTCTGAACGCATAATAATTTGGCCACTCAGTCTGTGTATTTGTGTGTGTATGTATATGTATTTTAGAGGCCTAATGCATGAATTCATGCATGGGTGGGGTCCGGCCAGCCTGGCCAGGGGAGGGGACGTGGGTGGTTGGCCGGCTGGCATGACTGCTGGTCGAACTCCTGGTCAAGGGGACAATTTGCATGTTAGTCTTTTATTATCTAGGATATACACTGAGTGGCCAGATTATTATGCGTTCAGAGATCATAATAATCTGGCCACTTGGTGTATGTCCTAAATCTTTGTCTCCAGATTCTTATGAAATAAGCTCATTTCTTATCAATGAAGATTTGCTCTCTTTAGATCACTTGAAGAGCAACGGTTTCCCCATAAAAGCCACCCAAGTTCCAATGGGCTCTCCCTACAGAGCTCTGATGCTGTGGATGCCACAAGCAATTCAACAGTTTTAATTCTCTGGAGAAATGGAAAAAAGTTGCAACCTGTCCTGTTCTTTCCTTTATCCTGATGGCCCTCATGACATTCTAAGGTCTGGGGAAGGGAGTGCCAAACCAGGCACCAGGCGCCCTCCTTGGAGGAGTCCACAGGTACCAGCCATCTCTGCCAGAACAGAAGCCCTGCAGCAGCCAGGGCTGTGAGCAGACCAGCCTCCGAGCCCATGGCTCATCATGTTCACCATGTACTGAAGGCTCAGGAGTCAGTGAACCCAGCCCCCCAGGATGGGGGCCCTTACCTGAGTCCCTGGTCAGTCTCCCCATAGTCATCAAGGTACGGAGGAGAATAAAAACAGCCTTTGGTTTTGCCGGCTAAAAATAGCACCTGACATTCCCGTACTCTGTAGAGAGACCATTTACATGTTATACATTACAACCAAGGTTTGGCTTCAGCTTCAAATGGGTTGAAGTCTTAAAAAATAAATAAACAACAACAGCACTTACAGCAGAGACAGAAGAGTATCAACACATCACTAAAAATCACTGAAATGACTATACTGTAAATCAATATAGTGAGAAAGTGGAACACTGTGGAACAGGAATTGACAGCTCCCATAATAGTAGCATTTAAAAAACTGTTAAGTGTGAGGAAGTTAACTTCTAAACATAAAATAGTTACTGGTATTTTTTAACCACTATCATGAGAAAATAACCCATTACAAATGATATACAAACATTTTGAATTAGGCCGACTTGAAACACAAAACAATACTGTACAAGACAAAAAAAATGTTGAAATATGACAGATTGGGGAAAATGTTACTTTCACATTTTCCCTATGGGCTATTTAAAAAAGTGTCTCCTGATCCCTGACAGGTTTGCTTGGCTTTTCAAAAACTGAGCTCAATTTAACAGTTATTGAAAACCTATCACATACAAGAAACTGTCAGGCACTGAGATGCCTAAGATATGGAGATAATCTATGCCCCAAGGAGCTCACACTCATGTCACTTCTCTCCTTCAAATCCTGAAATGGCTTTCACCTCACTCACAGACGACACCAGGACATGCCAGGCCCCATGAGTCTCCTCATGATTTCATTCACTCCAGCGACACCAGCTTCCTGGCTGTTTCTAACACACAGCAGGCACATTCCCCAGCCACTGTCTACTTGCTCCCTTTCTAGAATGCTCTACCACTTCTTTAGGTCTTTCTTTAAGTTACTTTTTCAGGGAACCTTCCCTGGTTCCCTATCTAAAATCACCCCTCCCCCCCATTTCCTATTCCCCTCCTTTGCATACAGCACTTTCTAAACCCTTACCGTCTTATTGACCTCCTGCCTCCCTCACTACAAGATAAGCCCAGGAAGGCAGAGACTTCGTCTGCTTTGTTGTTGATTGCACTCTCAATGTCCAGGACACACAAGTCAAAACAAGTATTTGTTGTATGTTGTTGAACATATACAACTATATATATTGACATACACATTACACACACACACACACACACACACACACACACACACACACACACACACACACACACATAAAATGTCTGAATCCAAAACCATGACTATACAACAAAAGGAGTAATTGTGACTAAATCTGGGTAAAAAATCTGGTTAGGCAACAGGAAGTTTCACATTAGAGTGAGGCATGAGGAAAGCAGAACAGAACTGTCATGGGCGTGGGAATGATGGCAACAGAACTAACCAAGTTAGCACGAGCCAACTGTGGGGTGTTAGAAGACAAGGCTCCCCATGTTCTTCAAATGAATACAACACCTGCGAACAGCAGTCTCGGAATCCTCTGCAATTAGACAGGCATGCACCGCAGCAGATGCAAAGCTAACAAGCTCCCTCAGGGCTCACCTACCTCAGGAAGATGCCCACTCCAGAACCGCAGGAGTAAGTGTGAGCTGTGCAGGCGCCCACATCCTCCCCTTCCAGTTCAGTCTGGCAGCAGTAGCTCTGGGAGCATAGCAGAGTTCCACATACAAGGCACAGAGTTGGGGCTCTGCTCTTATCACCGCCTGATTTGGGGCACCTCCATGGAATTAAAAAAAAAAAAAAAAAAAAAAAAAAAAGCACAAGTCATTGCTCTACAGAAGATGGGCTGAAGAGCTGCTGGTGGTAAAACCACTGTGGAGCAAAACTGTGCAACATAAGATAGAACTGAAGAAGCCTATACCCTATGGTCCAGGAGAACTATTTCTATAATTGGGAACACCTCACACATATACACAAACACATGTACTGGAAATAATCAACCATTAAAGAAAAAAGAAATAAACTCATCATTAGGAACAAAAATATAAATCCTGCTTTAATTAAATAGTGAAATATCATATGCAGTGAAAAATGATGAATTAAAAGTTATATTTACTGAGTGGCCAGATTATTATGATCTCTGAACACAAAGGCTAATATGTAAATTGTACCCTTGACCAGGAGTTCGACCAGCAGGCAAGCTGGCCAACCACCCATGTCCCCTCAAAACAATGAACAAAATCCCTTAATTCCGTATAGTGTTTCCAGTGGTAGGAAATGCTCAATCTTCTAATATCAAAACTTACGAGAAATTAGAGGCTTGATTAATGAGGCTGCTGTAATCCTCTGGAAGGTCTATCAATTTGTTAGATTCTCTTGGATAGCTTAAAAACACACAAACATAAAACCAATTAATATGAGGTCATATCACAATGACAGGATAACTCATTTATAACTTAGTCAGAACAAGTAAAGGCAGACTGAACCCGAGTGCTGAGATCTACCAATGGTACATGAAGCCACATAAAAAATTTAAAAAGTTATACTTAAGACCTTATGGTTAACATTTTTACTTGAAAAGTTCAGAACAAACCATTAGGACAGGACAGTAAACAGTACATAGATCCAGCCCCATTTACGTGAAAATGTGGTAGCTCTGGGGAGTTAGGAGGGACAGGAAAGGATATTCATCTCTAGGCTTCTTCCAAAACACCCCAGTAATTGAGAGCCCCACCACAGAACCTAGCAGAGGGCAGACAGAAAAGATGTGCCGATTACAGGTGATCTTAAGGCACAAATGAGAGGGAGGAGAGAAGTAGAGAACAGCTAAGTTAGAGGTACCATGTCATGTTGGCAAGTTAATTCAAGTACAAGTAGAACCGAATTCAATTGGTATTTGAGAGCACATTCTCAGGGCTCATCCTGTCCCGAAAGGGCCTGTGGTTCGGCCCTTCCCTACAGCAGAGAGAGGAGTGGACTGACACCAAAAGGGAGCTACTTGGACCATAGTACTTATACTAGAATCGCTTGGGGAAAACTTGAGGTAGAGGGACATACATGTGAGGAGTCCAACGTTAGAGAAATAGATTTGGTAGGTAGGGCCCCACGTACGTTTTAAAGTTTCCAGTGCTGTTCTGATGTATACCCCAAGTTGAGAACTACTGTTGCACATCATGAGTGCTGACTGCATGTTGAACCGTATGAAATTGGTGGTACTCACCATTTTTACTTCTTAAAACTGTAATTTCATATTGTTCAACCTAAAAAAATTGTGGTGTTATGGTCTCTGAATTTGGGGCAGACTGTGTATAAAATCAAAGAAACAGAAAACAATCTCCACTAGCCTTTCAATTTTTATGAATATAGTCAGCAGAACCAAGGAGATATTAATAGATGAAATATATGTTATCACCTGGTAGAGCATACTGCAGAATCAGAATAGAGCTAATGTCAAAGGAATGAAAAAAAAAAAAAAAAATGACTGGTCACCACTGACAGTGAAACTGAGTAATAGATGTATGGAGTCTTATTATGCTATTTTATTTTTCTTTCAGAACTGCTTTTATTTACATAAATGACCCAAGGAGTCTCATTTGTAACCAAGATGGAATTCACGGGATGTTGTTACATTCACACTTAAAAAATATATCTCTATGTGCAGGAATTTGCATATAGATGTAAACATATGTTACTTTTCAAGTATATTCCTCCCCTTCTTCCTGGAGGAAAAAGAAAAAAAGCCATCCAACCAGGCAATGCCTTTAAAATAACTTTAATATAAAGATGTAGATATCTCAAAACAAAAAAAGGGTTCTTCTGCCTGACTGGGTCTCACAGGAGAGAACACAGATGAAAGTGATGACAACAGCTTGACCTCAGATGGAACTGGACTGTTTCACACTGTATTTAGGAAAAACAGGCAGATTTCTAGAAGGAAATTCAGTCCTTTTGGAAGCTATTTACTGAGCCAATATGGCTGATTAACACTTTCACTAGTATCAAGTCACCCAGAGCAGGACTCTTGGCCTCAGCTGACACCAGCACAGCCGGGTGGCCATGGGCACTGCCGAGGCTGTCCCCACTCCCTAGGTATGGAGGCCCACCTGAGTTCACCTCCTGTGCTTGGTCCATGCCTTCCCATGCTGCAACTGTCTAGCATTATACCAGGTACGCTGCTGCTTACTCATTTCAACTACCCTTCAACTTAACTAGAAAAAACTTTTGTTAAACTAAAGGGAAAAATGCATCAGGTTATATCATCCAGGCTGTGTACTCCAGCCCCAACTGGAAGCATGCTAGGTGGGGGTATGTATGGTGGCTGTCCTTTAGCGGGGACAGCATGGGTGGGGAGCAGGAAGTTTGGGTTGTAGGTGGAGGGAGGTGAAGGGTAGCTGGAAGTGGGGGGTGAAATGGTCGGTGGGGATAAAAGGCTGGGGGAGGGTACACTAACTGAGGGGGTGGTTGGCGGGGTAGACATGGAGGTAGTAGGGCAGGTGAGCTAGTGGGCCATAGGCTGGGGGCAGGTTCTGTAGGAAGGGCCCTTGGTCTTCAACATGGACTGCAGACTCTGGGAGCCCTCTCCAGACAATAGGACCTGGTGGTGGACATTCAGTTATGTAGCTGGAGGGTGGTGATGGCAGTGGCCACGGTGGTAGTTGGTGCACATGGGTTGGGTGGGTGGGGGAGGAATGTGGATTTTGGAGAGGTCACTGGAAACCATAGGGCCTGGTGGCTGAGCCGTGCCTAAGGAGCCAGAGGGGAGGCTTCCAGTCTGGCACTGGGTGGGCTGGAAACAATGGAGGGTAAGTGGCTTCAATTTGGTGGTGGTTCTGCAGCTTTGCTCTTCTTTGGGAGAAACCACCGTGACTCTCTTCACCTGGTGGGGAGGACTAGGCTACAGGGATGGCTTCCTGAGCTGCTGGGCTTGCTGTGGCGGCAGGGCTGATGGCTACAGGTCCTTGTGGGGACGGTTCAGACCCAATTATGACGGTGGCACTGGTGGCACTTGAGTAGGGTTGAGCGATGGGGCTGATACAGCTGATGAGTCCTGAGATGAGGCATCTGTTTTCCTTATGAGTAGTAAAGATCCAGGAATTGGTGGCAGATATCTTCTAGAACATCCACAGGGCCATCTTGCGCAAACTGTCCCCACCATCTCCGATACGTTGGTTTGGAGGTTCATTCTTATATTTCAGATTTGCATAAACATCCGCAAGATACATCACTGCTACTGCTATGATCTCTGGTTCCCATGGCAGTGACAAGGATGTGCAGTTACTGTCATTTAAAAGGCCCATGCCACTTGAACCAACTTTTGAATTTTGTTTTATCACTTTTGTTTTGCATATTTGAGTAGGAACTAGTATGGATATTCTACCCGTAAGTCAAACTTTATAGTCTATAGTAATATTTTTTCCAGACCTACTACTTCTTCCTTTGAGTCATTTCCAAACTGGCCGAAATTGTACATCATTTAATAGACTACAAACTCCTTTGATGATATCTTTCATTTTTTTTTTTTTTTAGTTTCTTCTACTTTCCCATCCAGAAAGAGACAACAGCTCCTGTTACATATCTTGGGAATTGTTTGAAGGAACGAAACACATAAAAGTGATGAAAAAAAGTCAATCCAGTTGCCAGAGTATCATAGTTAGCCCCAATTGTGTGTCCACATCAAAGATGAACTGAATCCTGCCTTGGCAGTACCACTCTTCAGTGGCTGAAGGGTTGGATGGAGTCCTTCTAGTTGAGAGGGTGTGCGAGCTAAGTCTTTCTTAAATCCCAGTTCCAGCATGGTTTTGTGTAGTTCAGCTTTGTTGACGTTACTGAAGAGCTGAATTTTCTCAATTCTCCTTCATTTATTTAAGTAGACATGCTCCTTTCAAAAGATTCTCTGAAAATGTTAGAATCCCCTTGCCTCAGGAAGCCTCACAGTGACCTCTCTCCTTGCCAACTTTGGCCATTCTGGATGAATATATTAGTCTTTAAACTTTTGGATAGTTTGAAGTTTTCCATAATAAAAAATAATTATAAAGCTAAGAAAAAACAAAAAGAGGACCCAGATTTTTTTAAAGTAAATATTTCAAAAGATAATTTTATTTACTTCCTCTGCCAAAAATAATGCACTATATTTATGTTCCTAATTTTGATTTTTCTTACAAACTGACACCACCATTGGGCTAAGAAGAAAAAAACATCAAGGCCCAAAGGCCTACCTCTTAGATTCACTTAAGGCCAGGAAGCAGTGCTGAAGGAACACAGTACCTGTGCCCTGCCTCCCTGCTTCCCACCCCCACTATGTATTGGACAAAATGTAACTTACCTAATAGCATCTCTTTCACCTTCTAGATATCTTTTCACTTCATTGTGCTGACACCAACTTTAATGTAATTGGGAAAAAAGAAACAATTTTTACTTTTGAAAGGTTAGAACTAGAATTTTTTCTTCTCTAAATCCAGTAAGAGGAAAAAAAACACACCTTTGCTTAATATATTTTAACAACTCAAAAGAAGCTTGGCAGAAAACCATATTTTGTCTGCAACTTTTAAAATAAAAAAATATGACCCTACGATTTTCTAAAAGAATGTTAAATACATTACAATTTGTGGCTAGATACACAGTTACACTAATTTGGACACTCTGGAAAAACCAGTATAAATTAATGACAAGCTCCTATTAATGAGCTAGAACACTTACATTAAAATGTCTTTTTATTGTAGTAAAATATACATAACATAAAATTTATCATTTAGCCATTTTTAAATGTATAGTTCTGTGGAATTAAGTACATTGACATTGTTGGGAAACTACCAATGCCATCCATTTCTAGAACTTTCCCAACTTGACAAATTGTTCTTGTTAAACAGTAACCTATTTCTCTCCCCGGCCCCTGGCGATCACCATTCCATTTTCTGTCTCCATGAACTCGATTACCCTATGTTCCTCAAATAAGTAAAAACATATAGTGCCCTTTTGTGACTGGCTTGTTTCACATAGCATATCCTTAAGGTTCATCCATGCTATGGCTTACATCAGAATTTTATTTATTTACCCATTCATTTGTTGATGGATATTGGCTCTTAACATAAGTGTACATGTATATATGTAACCTTATTTTGAATTCTTTTGCAATATATATCTAGAAATGGAGTTGCCAAATCATATGGTAATTCTATGTTAACTTCTTGAGGAACTACCATACTGTTTTCCAGAGTGGTTATACCACTTTCTATTCCTATCAGCAATGTACATGGATTCTAATTTGTCAACACCCTCATCAACACATACTATTGCTGTCTGCCTTTTTTATTATAGTCATCTTAATGGGAGTGAAGTGATATCTCATTGCTATTTTGATTTACATTTCTCCAATGACTAGTGATTTTGAGCATGTTTTCATGTGCGCTTTGGCCATTTGTACATGGAAAAATCCTTTGAGCTTAAAAAAAATATTTTTCTGAAAAATTTGTTTTCTTTGCTCATTTTTAATGAGTTTGCTTTTTTCTTGCTTAGATATAGGAATTCTGGATATAAATATGTTCTGGATATTAACCCCTTGTCAGATATATGATTTGCAAATATCTTCTCTCATTCTCTGCATAAAATACCCAAATTTTATTTTAAACATTGATCGGCTGCCTCGCATACGTGCCCTGACCAAACACCAAACCCGGACCTTTCAATGCCCAGGGTTGAAGCTCTAACCAACTGAGCACATCGGCCAGTGCAAAACAGCTAAATTTTAAACTAAGGGTATTGGACTAGGTAATCCTTAAGGTATATTTCAGTTCCCCAAATTTATGGAACTGAGTCCTGAATAAGTAAGTTGATCAGAGGAAATAACCATTTCTACCACTACTCTCCTAGAGTATTACTTGTTATAATAACAAATCTTCTTGTGTTATTCACCAGCTTAGCAAAAATCTTACCATAAAGGTAAATCCTTAACTAAAAAGGTCTAATCATTATGGTTTAAATTACATGGATTGAATTTTTACAAGCTCACTACTTGAGAATTTTGCAATATCTGTGATAAATTGAAGTTTGTTACCATATAATTTCATTCAATGTAATTTTTAAAAAGTGTATAATTATTACCTTTCAATCAGTAATTTCGTTATCTCACTATTTTCTTGAAAAAGGCAAATGAGGTTGTTTGGCAGGGAAAGATAGTTACATAAATGTTCAAAATGGCTTGTTCCAGAAACTGTAAATGGAGAAGAAAATAGTAATACATATAACACTAAGAGTACAACCTGCATTGGAATAAGCAATAGCAAAATTAAAAAAAAAAAAAAAAAAAAAAAAGCATGAGGAAAGAGTTCAAAATTGCTAAGTACATAACTTATAGGAAGTTAACAAGATGGCGCATGGACGGGACCTACAGAAAATGACACAATTCAGAGTGGAGTCAGGTTGACTCCTAAGTCAAACTGGTTATAGTTCCTTAGTGTCTGTTTTACCAGTTGCAAAATGGTTTACCTGCATGACTACTTCATGGGGTTAGTTATAAACATTAAATCACAAAAACAACATATGAGTGCTCCAGAAAAGTATAAAGCAGCACAGGAATATAAGATGATTTCATCATGGGAGATGGATTGAAACACTTATTTAATCACCCCTGTAAATGATTAGGAAGTCTAAATCAGTCTATAAGGGGCCTGGGCAACTAGCTGAATGGAGATGCTAGTCGACAAACTTAGAGAGCAGCATTACCTGCAGGCACTCCATGCCTTTTGCCATGCTCTACAGATACAGTAAACGTTAAGTCTACCTTTACACTACTTTCATGAAATGAATCAAAATAGAACATAGAAAACAACCAGGAAATAGCAAACGAATTCCTACATTAAAATCAAATTTATGTGCAAATATAGATATTCTGAAGTTTAGTTAAGAAACACTTGAAATAGTCAGTTTTCACTTTTTAAAAGCCAAAGACTCCAGTTTATGAATAATATAAAATTAAACATTTTAACACATGAAAGCAAAATTAGTATACTTTAGAACATATAAATATACAAAAAGCATATTACTGAAACCCAATAAAAGCAGACATATAGCCCTGGCCGGCAGAGCTCATTGGTTGAGCATTAACCTATGAACCAGGAGGTCATGGTTTGATTCCCGGTCAGGGCACATGTGGGCTCAATACTCAGTGTGGGATGTACAGGAGGCAGCAAGTCAATGATTCATCATTGATGTTTCTATCTTTCTCTCCCTCTCTGTTCATCTCTGAAATCAATAAAAATATATTTAAAAAACCCAGACATATAAATACACATTTTTATTCTATAACTGTGTACATCACCATAGTCAATTAGCTATATTCTAAACTTTTAACCCATTTTCATTTGTGCAAGTGACCTTAATTCTAAACTGCTGGAATGAAAGACTACATTCATTTCTGACATTTTGAAAGAAATTAGAAGTTACCTTGAATTTCAGGCGGGGAAGGAACTCCATTTAAGTAATGAAAAAACAAAGCGGAACATTTCAGGAAGGGCATGATGCCAGTTCTGACACGCCTCCACAGGTGCCAGCCAGAGGGTATTTCTTTCAAAGCACTAAGAGAAAAATGAAAATAAAAAAATTTAAAAGAAAAAGTCACTTTAGTTACAGTACAATGTGGATAGCCCTGATTCTAACAGAATGTCAATTATAAAATGGTGATATGTCCCTAGCCGATGCTCAGTGGTTAGGGTGTCAGCCCATGCACCAAAGGGTCTCAGGTTCCATTTCTGGTTAGGGCACGATCGTGGATTGCAGGTTCAATCCCCTGGCCATGTCAGGGAATAAGTGGGAGGCAACCAATAGATGTGTCTCGCTCATGTCAATGCTTCTCTCTCTTTCCCACTCCTCCCTCCCTTCCACTCTGTTTAAAAATCAATGGAAAAAGATATCCTCAGGTGAGGATTAAAAAAGTAAAAATGAACAATAAAATAACATGGTAATATAGCTTCAAATGCTGTTATTAAAATTTATAAAAGTAATATAAAAAGAAAAATCGAAAAAATAAAAACTTACCCACTATTCTAGAATTTTTATCAGCAGGCACTATTTTGGCAAACTATTTTCATACTAATTGGTCTTAATTTTACGTATGAAATTTAAAATTAACATGCTTTTCAGAATATCATAAATGCAATATTTTGGAACACAGCAATCATAACTGATACCAAATTATCCCCCTGTAAGCAAGCACTTAAGACTGCTTTAAATTCTTTGCTAATATAAATAATATCAGAATATATATGTTTATGCCTATAGGTTTTATATATATATATATATATTTATTTATTGATTTCAGAGAGAAAGAGAGAAAAATAGAAACATCAATTATAAAAATCACTGATTGGCTACCTCCTGTATGCCCCACACTGGGGGGGAGAGAGGGATTAAGCTTGCAACCCAGGCACGTGCCATGACTGGGAATCCAACTACGACCTTCTAGTTCATAGCTCAACGTTCAACCACTAACCATGCTGGCGGGGCAGGTTTATCCAAATATTTTGTTAATGTGGATTCTGAGAAATGAGATAACTTGGTAAAAAAATGAAACCAAACCAAACCAAGTTCTTGACATATACTGTGAAGAAGCTAAATGAAGTTGTTGTACCAAATCAAAAGAACTCCAACAATATGTGAGGTTTGAATAATTTCCTGCATTCCTGCAATTCTTGATATTGCCTTAAAAACAAATTATGTCAATTTAATTTGCACTTTTTAATTCCTAGTGAGAGAATGTTTTAGAATAGCACTTTCCAAAAATAAATTCCATGTCTCCATGTACCATAACCTAAGCAAAAAAAGGGTTCCATGGCCAAGTAAATGTGAGAAGCTCTGAGAATTCTTTTTTAAAACATATCAACTGCCCTGGCCAGTGTGGTTCAGTTGGTTGGGCATCAGCCTGTGCACTGAAAGGTTGCAGGCTCCATTCTTGGTCAGGGCACATGCCCATGTTGTGGGCTTGATCCCTGAAAGGGGCATGCAGGAGGCAGCCAATTGATGTTCCTCTCTCCAAAAATCAATAAAACAACAACAATAAAAACATGTCAACACACAGCACTTTTCCTTTTTTACAAATAAGTGCCTTTTTTATGCTACATGTAAAGATTATGAACCAACCTTCCTGTGTGCTGGCGAAGTGTTTTATACAAAGCAAGAACTGCTAATTCTTCTTCACCAGCAGGAGTTTCTTGATCCATTTCATTCTCTTCTGAAAGAAAAGGAAATAGTACTCTGTGTTTGCCTATTAAGTGGATTAGTGATCACATCCTTTCAGTACTCACATATAGCATGAAAATACTCCCACAAAACACACAGAACTTAAATTCCTCAGGGGTGAGCACAGTATTGCTCTCCATCATAATAAGGAGCCTGCAAGCTTTGAGAAGAAGCTGTGCTGATTCAGGGTGCCAGGTAGCATGCAGTGAGCTAGATAAGCTAAACATATAGTCTATAGTACTCAAATATCACTAAATTTATAATAAAAATAATGATTCACATTGCTAAGGAATTTTAATAGGAGGAAGAAATTTATTTCAAAACCTATCACATTAAACAATAAGGACAAGTAGCCTAATTATAATTTATATACTATTCTCAGTCAAGGACCTTTTCCTTTAACACTTCCTTAAAGAAGCTGACAAAAAGGAGTTACCTGTACATGAGGTAAGTAGGATCTGGATGATGTGTGCCATAGTAACCAGATGGAAAATATGGAGGTCTCCAGTGCCAAGGCTGATCCCTGAAAAATCCTGACACTGCAATGCAGGGAAAGCAAGCACCAAGCCCACCTAGATACCAAACACAGAGCATCAGACAGCTCGCATTCCCTTCACACCTAAACAGAAATTTTGTTCATAAATAGTACATACATTAGAAATCCCATTTAGAATTGGCTAAATGGAATTCCTTAAGAGCAAATGGTCTTGATGGATACTATCATTTCATTTATCCAGTGATTCTCCTCTAGAGAACTTGTTAATAATCTATATTATAAAAACCCAATGACCTTAATGCCATAATGACCAAAGACTGGCGCAGGTGGGTGGGGCCACGTGATTTCACGCACTGGGCTTCTAGTTCTATATAATAAAAGCCCAGTGACTGAGTGGTGGAATAACAAGAACAACCAGTCTACCAGTTGCTATGGTGCACTGACCACTAGGGGGCAGATGCTTAATGCAGGAGCTACCCCCTAGTAGGTCAGTGCACTCCCACAGCAGAAGCACCGCCTGGCTGACTGGGATGAGCGGTGTTCCCACAGTGGGAGCAGCCACTCAGAGGGCGGATCCACAGCCGCTCAGCTGCGGCTGCTCTTGCAGTGGGCTGATTCCCTGCAGGCCACGTCCCCCACCAGTACACGAATCCCATGCACCAGGCGTCTAGTAATAGACTAATACCCCTGGCTGGTGAGGCTCAGCTGGTTGGGCATCATCCTGTGTACCAGGTTGTTGGTTCAATTCCCAGTCAAGGAATTGCAGGCTCAATCCCCAGTGGGGGGTGTCAGGAGGCAGCTGATCGATGTCTCGCTCTCACATTGATGTCTCTCTTTCTCTAAAAATCAATAAACTATTCTTTTTTTAAAAATATATATATTTTATTGACTTTTTAGAGAGAAGAAGACAGAGGGATAGAGTTAGAAACATCGATGAGAGAGAATCATTGATCAGCTGCCTCTTGCACACTCCCCAGTGGGGATGTGCCTGCAACCAAGGTACATGCCCTTTACCGGAATTGAAACTGGGACCTTTCAGTCCACAGGTCAATGCTCTATCCATTGAGCCAAACCGGTTTCAGCAAATAAACTATTCTAATATAAAACAAGCAAACAAAAAACAGTTGAAATCTTCCTAAGAGTAAGCAGTGGAAAAAGCATGGATTTTGGACCTACAATGATCTAGCTATGAATTCCAGCTCCTCTTATGAGATTTGTAGACAAGTTAACACCTGAGTCTCCATTTCCCTGTTAGTAAACTATAGGTAATATACACGTGTTTTTAATACTTCAGTAGTAAGGCTGTAAAGGAGTAAGAAAGAATGCATATGAAAGCAGTCAGGTCTACAATAAATGTTAGCTCTCCTGTTACCTCTTGCTGCCTATATGGTGGTTTCACAGGAGCGATGTGAACAGTCACAAAGGCTAACACTTACTAGGGACACAGTGCTCTAAGCTCCTTACATTGACCATCCCACTGAGTTCTGACACATTGTATGAGGTAGGTACTAACCACCTTAAAGGTACAGAATCTGATGCTCAAAGCAATTAAGGACACAGCACTTGGGACTGCTGCCTGTGGCACTGCACTCCATGTGCTGAGGAAGGGGACCGATCTGAGATGGGACTGAAGTTCAGCCAGTATTGTGTGCTGGCACCAACCTGCCCAGAAGACATACCTTTCCCTAAACCACACAAAGGAGATTTCTATTGCTAAACAGTGTGATCACAGACAGGGCTGTATCTGCTCAATAGCACGGTATGGGTCAGCAGCAGCCCTTAATCACTAGTATTATTTTTACATCTCTGTAGGCAAAAAGCATAGAAAGGTAGTTATTTTTTTAAAATGTATTTTTTTTTTTATTGATTTCAGGTAGGAAGGGAGAGAAGCATCAATGATGAGAATCACTGATCAGCTGCTTCCTGCACACCCACAACTGGGGATCAAGCCCATAACCCGGCTATGTGCCCTGACCAGGAATCAACTGTGACCGCCTGGTTCATGGGTCGACATTCAACCACTGAGTCACACAGGCCAAGCAATGTTTTCTTTTTGAGGCCCTCAGAAAGAACTATACTCAGAAGTGGTAAGAGTTATTGATGGCAACTCCTCCTGTCTGCCTCTATAATGTTCACTAAATCTAAGGTAAAGTTCTATAATACAATAAAGGAAAAGTCAAACACAAATTACAAGATACTCACCAATAAATGAAACATGTCAATATCTAATATGCATGGAAGGTTTCCATAATTGTCATTAGGCACCAAAGCTAAATATTTAAAGAAAAAATACATTAGCACATTTCATATGCCAATATAAGTATTATTTTTTAAAATGTATATAACCTTAGTTTACATTTGTCTTTTTGCAAGATCTATATGAATTTATAAGCTAGAACTTGTATATAAAACAAACAGTATTACCAAAATATTTCTGTCATAATGGAGAGAAGTTGTATGACTAAAAACAAAATTATAGATGGAAAATTACCATAACATCTACGGTACATGTATTAATACTCACATGCAAAAAGTTTACAAAAGTGCCCTTGCACCACTGAAAGTAATGCCACTGTCCAATGTGCTGCAGCGAATCTTGTCAGTGACCTAAGACAGTCATCCTGAAATTGATCGACACAAAGCCAGCATAAGAAATAGTTCTCTTTTTTGAGGACTGCTAGTTGGAAGTACAGCCAACTGAAGCAAAGCTAGATGCACAATGAGATCTTTCTAAATGGTATGCAACTGAATTTATGACATCTTTTAAAAAATTTATTTATTTATTTATTTATTTATTTATTTACAGAGAGGAAGGGGGAGGGAGAGAGAGTTAAAAACATCAATGAGAAACATTGATCAGCCACCTCCTGTACACCTCTCACTGGGGATGTGCCCGCAATTAATGTAATGTATATGTATATGCATTATAATGTAATTATAATGTAATGTATATGCCCTTGACCAGAATTAAACCTGGGACTCTTCAGTTTGCAGGCCAACGCTCTATCCACGGAGCCAAACCGATTAGGGCTTATGACATCTTTTTGAAAAAATGTTTTTTTATTGATTTTAGAGAGAGGAAGAGATATATTGATAGGTTGTCTCTCATACACACCCCAACCAGGGTGATTCTACATGAATCAATTTACATGATTTTACTCTTAAGGACAATTTTATGATGTACCTGATACTAGCTAAAGAGTAAAATTTAGTTAGCTTTGACTGTATATTTCCCTTCCTCATTTTTCTAGGCATAAAATGCACTGTTTTGACATTAATGTGTACTTAATTTAAATGTCACTTATGAAAGGTAGTCACATGTGGAGAACAAGCACTCTATTTTTAGTTTTTTTTTTTTCCCCATCTTTTCATGTGATTAAGCAAGAACTCTAGATGAAAAGAGCTAAAGTCTATTTAAAAGAAAAACTAGAAATTAAACCACAAACATTACTTCTTCAATATCATTATAAAAAAAGGGTTTACTATGAAATGAGTAAAGCTATGCCTAAATAACCAATTCAGTTTTTAGGCTTAAAAAAAAAACAGAACCAAAGAATTTTCATTCTACCATTCTATGAAGTGAATAAATTGATAACTTACCAGTCTGCAAGGCAAAGGACCAAATAATGGTTTATCTTCATCACTTAAAATTCTCTCTGCAGATTAAAAGTGATTAAGATGGTAAATTTTGAATGTATAATATATATTATCACAATTCCAGAAAGTAGTAATAAAATTCTTTTTGGAAAGAACATAATACTGTTAGGTTTTGAAATTTTCAAGTCATTCTACATGAATAAACTTTGGATGAAACGTACAAATGAATACACATTCCCTCAACGGACAAGAAGCTAAAACCCCACCAAAATGAGTTCTCTGTTGCTGGTTAATTTACCACCTGCCAATCTAATATTTTGTCAGTATGTTGCATTTCCTACTTCAAGGTTGTTGCCCGCTTTAAACATGTCATATAAATACAGGCTTCTAGAGTAACTCATGTCCATGTATGCTTGTGACTTAATGAGAGGCTTTAAATCTCTTACCTATGCTTTGGATGGTGTATGCACAGCTACCCCAGCACATTATGGGCACACGGGGATCTTCTTCATTGGGATGAACCTTTAGTCCCACCTTGTAAGTAGCAGTTCCAAATGTAGTTAGCATTTCTTTTATGCTATCGGAATAAGGGTTCCTGAAGTGAAAACACAGAGGATTGATTAGCTCAGAACAATGTGCTCACATCAAATGTTAGATTCTTAACAGCTATTTGCTATGTTGGAACTGAACCATTTAAACTACCTAAGGTATTATAGTTGTATGCAAATTAGTAAAGAGGAGAATAGGAGATCTAGCCAAGTAAGAGAAACATAGTCAGGGGAATGCTCAGGGTGACAGCAGTGTTCAGTCTTTACTGGTGCGGGAGCACTCAGAAAGGTATGCTAGGCACCTGAAAGCTCTACTGTAGCATTTAGAGGGGGGAAAAGTGACAGCGATAGAAAACCAAGTACATGAAAAACAAACAAACAAGGCAATTATTAACCACAGGAAAGACAAAACTGTAAAAGAAAAAATACATAATTAAAACATGTAACACGTATCCGCAGGAACAATTATAATGTAAACACTGCCAACAGATTTAACCAAAAATTGTGGAAGACTCCACTGGGAGACTGGTAAGGAGCAGTGGGTAGGGTTAGGGTAACAGCTGAATACTAAATTGCTAGCAGTCAGCACAAATTACTGTTTATAAATGATCCCTCAAAAGAGAAGCTAACTAACTGTTGTAACTGGAAATATGGAAGTAAATAGTAGGACTGGGGAAAGGAAAGGGGAATGTGGTAGGCATAGGGCTGATTTTTTAATTTTATTTAAGTGTTATTTTTATTGTGTTACTTAGTACATGCCAGGAATAACTTCCAGGTGACTTTACATATATTATATCACTTTAACCTCATAATACTTTACAGATGAGGAATCTGAGGTATAGAGAGATCAAGCAATTTGTACAGCTGCACAGCTAGTAGGCAGTGCTACTAGGAACCGAATCAAGCAGTCTAGCTCTAGAATCTATGCTATACTTTATAATTAGCTATGGGGTAAAAGAGGATAAAAATACTCGTTTTGATCCTGATGTTAAAATTAAAAAACAAACAAACATTGAAACATGTAAAGAATTTTTGTGAGTTTATTTGAGCCAAACTGTCGACATATGACAGGAAGCAGAACCTCAACAAATTGAGATAATGCTCTGGAGAATGGTGTGATACATTAGTATTTATACATTGCAATCAAAGGAGGCATGGAGGTGGGTTACATGAAATTCATTTGTGATAGATTAAGGAGGTGGGAGAAAGCAAAGCGGGGAGGGGGGGGAAACCCCTCGGATTGGATAAAAAGTAAAATGGTGGACACATACTTAGGTGGGTGCCGGAACAATTACCATGATAATGAAGGAATTGGTGGCAGCTGTCCTGGCGCCCAGCATATTTAGTTGTGCTCGCAGGGACTCCAGAAAAAGTTACCCGGACATTTTAAGGGTGTGTTATCAAAGATGCAAGAAGGCAGATAGGCTCAGTTAAGGTAAAGGTTGACCTTGTCAGTGAAGATAATGGCCTACGACGTAACTGCTTACCATAACTGCTTTTAGTTAAAGTTTTATTTCAGACCATCCTTTGTGGTTCCTTTAGGTCTCTAAGTCTGAAAGACTGCTATGCAGGCCTCTCCTGAGCCTGTTAGGTCAGCATGTGGCCCCTTTCGTCCACACTGGGTTACTGATCAAGTTGGCGGGGCCGTAGACAGATATATAGAGATCAGAAGGAAAGCACAGGATTTGGGGGGAGCTGAGCAGTTTGGATTTAGATGTAGTGATGAGGTGTTGTTAAGAAAAGCCAGATAAGGAGTATAACAGAGTCAGAAATTCGAACTAGGAGAAACATGCAATGTAATTCTTAGGTTCTCTGATCAATATACTGGCAATAACTATCATTATGCAATGCTTAAATCTCAGAATTCAAGATCAATGTCCTATAATATTTGCTCCCAGCTTACAAATCATATTTTTACTAATTGCTAACTTAGCTTTTCATTTCAAGTGGGCCAAGCATGAAAGGAATAAATAATGTACTCACTTAGGATGAAAATCAGGCCTAAACCCTTCAGGGAGCTGCAATTCATCCATATTTTCTGAATTCTTTGAAAAGGCAATATCTATAGAAACAAATATTTTATATCATTATTCATCAGTCCACAATATTTCTGTGAATTTCCAACATAAATTTCATTCTAAATATAGTTCAAAGAAATTACAAACTATAGGAAAATTTTCCATTAATAAAAGCTTGCATAACATGCATTCAAAGCATGCAGTATCCCATTGCTCTGATTGATCAAGGCACCTTCTTTAGTAATCTGCACTCTTCCTAATAGTATTATAGAACCACAGAACATAGCTATGGAAGGTAGTAAAAGGAGGAGTATGCTATTTTGTTTTTTATAAAAACCAATGATATAAATTCTGCTCAGATTGCTTTCCCTGCGTCATAATTGCAGTGCATGCTGTGAAACTTGGGAAGCCTTTAGTAATGGCAACACTAAAATTAATTAGGCACTGAGAGCTAAAGCTAGCTCTGTAAGAGACAGTAACATTCGCTCACACTCAGAAGCTCTTCAATAACATGGGGGAATATGTGAGAAATATTTATTATAAACCTCACATAAGCCAGTGGCTTTTCAAGGAATAAGAAGTAACATAGTCAAGTCAAATGTAGTTCATAAGACAAAGAAAATCAAAGTAAGCCAAATTTAAAAATGAGAGGTTTCATTTAAAGACTACTTTGCTGCCCGGCCAGCATGGCTCAAAGGATGAGCATCGATCTATGACTCAGAAGATCACCATTCGATTCCAGGTCAAGACACATGCCCAGGTTGCAGGCTCAATCCCTCAAGTGGGGTGTGTAGGAGGCAGCAGATCAATGATTCTCTCTCATCAGTGATGTTTCTATCTTTCTCTCTCTCTCCCTTCCTCTCCAAAATCAATAAAAATATATTTTAAAAAATATTATGCTAAGGAATAAGCCAGTGAGAGAAAAACAGATATCATAAAATCTCATGTATGAATGGAATCTAAAGAACAAAATAAACTACTAATAAAATAGGTCTTGAGGTTGAATGCATAGAACAGAATAAAAAACTGGGTTGGGGTGGGGAAGAGACAGGAAGAGATTAACCAAAAAACATATATGCATACATGCATAGCCTATAGGCACAGACAATAGCATGGGGAAGGCCTGGGGTGGGATGGAGTCGAGTGGAGAAAGGCAAAAAGGGAGAAAATGGGAGACATTTGTAATACCGTTAACAATAAAATAAACTAAACAATTTAAACAATTCTTTCAGAACTTCAGGGAAAAATGAAAGCAGATTATCAGAACTTACTAGGAATACGTTCTTCTTTCCTAAGAATCTGTAATGCTTTCGTTTGCTGAGATATGGTTCTAATCCACTGAGTCAGATTTGGTTGGTCTGAAAAATTTAACCTGCTAGAAAAAATTATAAAAAGTGTTTAGTAGTTTGTTGTTGTTGCTTAGTTAAGATATAAAGACTCCTTAAATGGTCATGGGTCTAATTCTTTAAACATACTTTTGCCAATGGAAATAGAAATATATTATTTGTTACTATGATGCTAATAACATTATTTGTCAAAAACTTCACTTTTTTCAGTACTGGAATTTGCAAGTATTTCTGAAATATCACAATCACCATACCACCACCATTATTTACTGAGTGCTTTTTATGTGAAAAGCAATTATTAAAGCATTTAACAGTATTAGATTTAATCCTCAAATATTAATAAAACAGGTTGTATTATTATCCCTATTTTACAAATGAGGAAACTGAGGTTTAGCACTATGTAACTTGACTAGGCGATCTAAGGAACAGATCTGGCATTCAAACCTAGTCATTCCAGACTCCAAAGCTTTTATTCTTCATTATTATGCCAAAATTGGCTCTTATGAAAAAAATACAAAATCTAAACCATAAAAGTGAGGTGAAATCCAACAAAGATGTTCTTTTTCTCTTTTTATGTAGTGAATCCTTAACCTAACAATGATTAATTTATTAGTTCAACTACAGATTAACTCAGTACTATGATTTTCTTTTTTGATTAAAAAGCATGAGCTTGCATGGCTGGCCTGGCTCAGTGGATGAGCGTTGAACTATGAACCAGAAGGTCACAATTCGAATCCCAGGCAGGGCACATGCTTGCTTGTTGGGCTCGATCCCCAGTGTGGAGTTTGCAGGAGGCAGTCAATCAATGATTCTCTCATCACTGATGTTTCTATATTTCTCTCCTTCTCCCTTCCCCTCTAAAAATAAGTCATATTTATAAAACTTAAATTAGTACTTCTTCATGTAGATACCATAAGTTTAAACTGAGAAATAAAAATCATATTTAAATAGTAGACAGTATTAAATCCATATTTTGAAATAAGTCACACCTATTAACTAGAATCATCCTAAAATTTTTGAAATGATAAAAAATTTTCCATTTTAAATACACTAATGGATTTTCATTGTTTTGGCCCAATTCCTGAAGCCAGTAATTTGCAAAAAATTATATTTGTTAGAATATGCAATAAAGTCCATTTGAGCTTCTGTTCTCTCCCCTATCAAGTTACTAAGCATCTCTAGAAAAGTAAACAGGATCCTAGAAATAAAGACAGTTTTCATGAAAACACAGGAATTTTTACGTTCGATAGTGTCTACAGGTAAACAAGAAATTGTTAAATTCTGGCCTATTTCTTTCTAAAAACCAAAATATTTTATAGGCCTGCTAGAAGAAATGACCAAATAAAAAGTTTGAAAACTATCTGGAAAATATTATATAATTACCCAGATGCCCCCTCTGGGGCTTATTATTTCATTATTTTTAAAGGCAACTACTGCTTTGATATAAAGGTTTTATGAGCCAAAACTTACTTGTTAAAAATATTTCTTGGAGGAAGCAGCAGAGGAATAACAGTGTTACTCAAGCACTCACAAAGGGGACAAAGGAATTCTCCATTTTCTACATCATAGCTTGTATGTAAGCGTAATCTCTGTTGCCTTCGCTGTTCTTTAGCTTGAACGGAATCAAAATACCTTTACAATTAGAAAACACGAGGGATCAAAAACAACGGTATTTTTTTTCAGTAAGTACCATAAGCCTCAACATTTTAAATAATTTGTTTTCACACATAATGCAAAAATAAAAATCTTAACATGAACTGAATTATTTTTAATACTGGTACTTTAATTTCTGAGTTGCTTTAATCATCAGAATGGGTTCTAAGAGTTCTAAAACAGGAAAATTTGTAGTTATCCCCAAGTTAGCTCAGGGAGCAATGACAATTTCAGGAAGTAACAAGTACACTGTAAAAATATTTTCTTCATCCAGTTTGTTAGTGCACATAGATCCCCACATTAAAAACTATAGCTGATATACTTTGAAATTTGTCATTCCTTTATAGTATATATAACAAAGCAACTCAATTTTAATTGTTATTTATTAGGCAGTGATGTGGAGTTTTTCTTTAATATTTGTAATTCTTTTTCTCCTTTTCTAGAACGGACTTTCCTTTATATAAAAATTCAATTTTGAGCCTCTGAATAAGCTTTTCTTGACCAATATTAAGAATATATTACCTTTGCCAACAATGGGCATGCATAACGTGTCCACAGCTACCAGTGTGTGTTCCACATGACAGATCAGGGTGCATGAATAATGGATCGTATTTTTCTGCATTACAAACAAACAAAACCAAGCATTAATTTTCCCATAACAAACGTAAAACTTTACTCTGTGAAATCCTTGATAAAGGCTTGTAAACTTGAAATGAAATGCTAGTTTATTACTTTCCTTTGAGATACCAATGATTTATGCAAGACCCTGAATTATTTAGAAAGCAGGATCCTTTAACGTTCACCACCCTGAGCAAATAAAACATCCCTGAATTCTTAAAGAAAACTGGAATTCTGTATTTAAGCACATCTAATCTTTTGAACATTCATATTCTCAGGGCATTGAGACTCCCATTCCTTCCAAAAGCCCCGAGCTCAGTGAAAGGGATATTCTGCATGCGCTACATTGAATGCCTTCAGGACAGCTGGGTCACAGTGATCTCTAGCAAAGAAGATGCTTTGGCAGCAATGGGGCACTCCCTCGAGAAGATTCTGCCTAACGACAACCCATCAGAGAAAAACCACAATCACTGGACCAGGGTCCAAGTAGCAGCAAAATATCCAGGACAGCAACCCAGACCAGAGGTGAGGAAAAGGAAAAATCAGTTATTGCTCTGGTGCTAATTTTTAATATTCAAAGGAGATGAAAAATAAAGACAACCATAATATGGATACTTGGTTTCTTTTGGAATATTTCGAGTTCTCTGTGTAAATTAGTATTATCCTAGAAATTTTATAACATTACAGAAAGAATTACTCAAGTTTCAATTTGATTGATAGAACAGAGAAAATATCACAGCATAAAGAAAATCTGCTTACAGTCAGTGAGTTTTTTTCTTCATGAAATAACAAAACAAATAAACTTGGCTATTGGGGGATCTGGGAGATCTTTAATCTGGAATGAAATTATAAATCGCCTAGTTCAAATGAGCATTTCAAAAGATAAAAACAGACCAATCTTTCCTAACTGGGTGCTTGACAGTCATGCTGTGCAAACTTTCCTTATAGAGAAAAGGCAATCTTACCAGTGAGTTTTCAAACTTTTCAATCCTACAGTGTGAAAGGCACTTGCTTCCTAAGTGCATTGGAAAGCCCAAAGACAGCTCCTCCTCTCAGAGAAATTTATTGGTACTGCTGAACAACTCTAAGAGGAGAGTCAAAAGTGTCTATGGTGTCACAGTAATGTGCAGCCTAGATCCTCTGCAGGAAACGATGACTTACTCCTCAGCAGTTGGAAGGCACTCACTGCCATTCCTCTTTAAGGGATGACTGCTTTGCTCAAGGACACACCTCTTTCCAGAGGACCCCAAAAGCAGTCACTGATCAGTCTCCAGGAACAAAGACCCAGCCCCCATGACCCAACTCAGCATGCCTCTGACGGGCCAACCAGCTGCAGAGCTCCCATGGGACTGTGTGAGGACTTTTTGACAGCTTAACTCTTCCCTTGCCCAAACTTGGTCCCTTCTCCCCGTTTCACACACGTTGATGCCAAGGCTCTCCCTAATAAATGTCCCACATGGCAATCTCTATCTATCTCAAGAATCTTTCTGGGGAGAAGAAAAGAAAAAGAATCTTTCTGGAGAACCCTATCTGAGATGTGATCATTACTATAAGCCAGGATCTGGCTCACGGATTGCTTCTCACATAGGTGCCTCATACAACTGTCCTCAAGACAGTACACTTTGGGTCTATGCATGAGACAAATACATTGTTATTTCTGTGTGTCAACTAATATACAAGTGTGTTGAGAATGGGAATGACTGCTAAGTAGCAAAGCGTGTTAATGTTCTATCACAAAGAAAAACTTTCATTTGAATCCCTGCTATTTACGAGCTGTGTAATTCAGAAACAATATTTAGCCTTCTATAATGTTTCCTTATCTGTCAAATGAGGAATTTCTGCCTAAGTTCCCTGAGATACCATCAAGCCTATGGAGTTATTGTTAGTTTAATAAAACTTCTGTATATCACCACATGCACTGGGTGGCAGTCATTATTTTTTTTAAAAATATATCTTTATTGATTTCAGAGGGGAAGAGAGCTGGAGAGAAACATCACCAATTAGAGAGAATTGTTGATGGCTGCCTCCTGCATACCCCCAACTGGACATGGAACCCACAACCCACGAACCTGGGACCCTTAAGTCCACAGGCCGATGCTCTATCCATTGAGCCAAACCAACGAGGGCAGCAGTCAAATTAAAAAAAGGAGAGGATGAAGCTATGACTTACCTGGATCCTGAATGACTTTATTTCTGTTTTTTGATAATACAGTTGATCTTTGAACAAATGCTGCTAGGACCATTGCCTTGCTTTCCACTTTCACCTCTTGCTCCTCTTGACACAATATACAGGTAACGAATTGTCTTTGTTTAGGGACCTGAGTTTGTGCTGGGCCCAATGCTGTAAGTGTTGTATCTGACACCATAGGGCTGTAATGAAAGGTCATGAATATAATTAATAAGCCTAAGAAGTTTCTATATAATCACAAAACAGTACATGCCAAGTTTGCACATATACAATTTTGATGACTTAAAATGCCAGAAATCTTTCATATTTATCAAACCAATTCCTTTAATTCTTAGAGCATTCAATATGTAACACAGAAGCCATACACTCAGTTAACTGAGCCTAGAGTACTCATTCTCTGTTTTGTTTTTGTTATTTTTTAAACTGATCTTTAGAGAGAGTGAAAGGAAAAGAGGGAGAGAAACACTGATGGGAAAGAGACACATCAATTGGCTGCCTCCTACACATGCTCTGGACAGGGGCTGGGAGATCAAATCTGCAACCCAGGTTATGTGCCCTTGACTGGGAATTGAACCCACAACCCTTTGGTGTGTGGCTGATGCTCTAATCACTGAGCAACACCTGCCAGGGAACTGTGCACTTATTCTTTTATGAATGGCAAGGGTCTTTTGTATAACATTTTAAGCATACACATTAATTTTCTTATCTACTAGAGGCCCGTTGCACCAAGAGATTTGTGCAATAGGTCTTCCTTTCCTTGGCTTCCAGCACAGAATTTCCTATGGCACCAAGGACCCAGGCCTTCGCTCTGGCCAGAGTCTGCCCTCTTCGTCTTTGCTGTAGACTCAGGCTGGAGTCTGCCATCTTTGTCTTCACTGAAGACTCTGGAGCCTGCAGTCTTGTCTTCCCTGCAGCAGTCCGCTCCTGTAGATCCCTTCGCGTGTCTCTCCCTCTCTCCAAGCCCTCCCTCTCATAGCAGGTGTTCTGCCCCATTTGGCCACTCAGCCATGGAGCAGCAGGGCAGCAGCCATCTTTGGCCTTCTAATTTGCATACTCACTCTGATTGGCTGTGGGTGTAGTGGAGGTATGGTCAATTTTATATATTTGTCTATTATTAGGTAAGATAATTAGAGATATACTCATAAACATATACTAAAAAACTCAGATTTATAAGATTAATTCCTTTAACTAGAGGTCACAAAATTTACCTATCAATCTTCTAAATTACTTTAGGACTAAAAATGCACTTATAAGGAAAAAAAAACTTTCACAGTTGAGACTCAATGGTCAAGAGATTAAAAATTTTTGATTTTGAAAATTCTTACCTATTATCAAGAATAGCAGAGTTAGAGGCTTCCTCCGCTACTGTCTGCTGGAAGAGGTCTTTGTTCTCATCAATAAAGTTCCGCTGCATCTCCGACATCTGGGCCATGACCTTTTCCCGGCGCAGTCTGGCAATCTCAGCTTTTCTCTTTCTCTCAGCCTTGTCTTTGTCTCTTGAACTCTGAAATTATGCTTCATTTAATTAGACCACTTAATGCTAAAGAAAATCCCACTTCCCCAAAGCCCTCAGAAATATCTTTATTGGTAACAGTAATTAAAAACTATTCTACAATCTCACTTTCTAAACGAAAAACCTAACATGTTCTTCATTAACCTAACATGTTTAAAAAAAAAAAAATCAGACTATAACTATTAAAGATAAACAAGTAGGGGCACATTTCTTGGAATTTATATTTTTGTGACTAATATCAACTATCAACTTATTGCAGATAAATTTAAATAGTGAACTTGCTACAATTTTTGGTGTTACCACACGCTACTTCTTATACCTCTTCCGTTATAGTTCCTTCTGTCTCTGCCACAGAACTGGCGGATGAACTTTCCCTCATTTTCTTAATAGCATTAAAAGTCTACAAACAAACAAACAAACAAACAGCATTAGTTATTCTGAAGCTATAAAACATTATCAAAATGAGTGATGCAGAAAATTTACCTTTAATATCCACCTAATCATGTCTTTGTGGACATCCAGATAGGGAGCATTCTGCAGTGTTTCCAGCATTGCTAATATGCTGGGGGAGTTGTTTGGTGCTTCACCAGGTTCTAGGGCAGAAAAAAAGAAAGGTGCAATAACAACAGCTAACACTTCATAGCGCTTACTGCTATGCACAAGATAAGTCAAGTTGCTTATAACATCATGAGCCTACCAGTTGATTTCAGCTCATCCTATTAGAGATTTTCAGTACTTCTTCAGAATGTGACATATTTGTACTTCACAAACAACTGAATAGAAAGCTTTAATCTTTCAAAACTGACGTCTTATACCAAAATGATTTTTTAATTAAGTCCAGCTAAAAAGTCTTCCTAAGATTCTATAAGTCTAAGAAAATAAATTAGAACTACAGGGGTGCATTTGTGTTTAAATATGTCAATTTGCTGTGACCTTTTCTTTAATAAAACCTAAATTAAAAAAATTCTTCCTTTATGAATTATGTCTTTATTTGAGGAAGAAACCTAAAAGTCAAGTCCACAATTAAAAAAAAAAGTTTTTATTGGTTTTAGGGATCTGGTCTTGAACCTGCAACTCAGGTACATACCCTTGGTGGGTAATCAAACCCATGACCCTTTGGTGGGCAGGCCAATGCTCTAACCACTGTACAACAACCACTAGGGCTCAAATCTATATTAATAAGAGTACATTTAATTCAATGTTAGCTAATTTAGTTTTACTATTAAGAAATGCCAAATTATTGAGTTTTCTTATACATGTACTTCTTTTTACTTTTAAAAATCTTTATTATTAAAAGTAATACATAATTCTCCCTTTCCCCCCATTATAATTACTGATTTTCTTGATTTAAGTGTTATCATTCTAGCAAACGGTTCCTCTTTCCTAAAAGAAGAGATTGAACTATGTGATCTTTCATATTTTTCCAGGCCTAAAATTCTGTGGCTATGGATTAGGGATCTGGCTTTAAATAATGTGTTTTAATTATTTGAAATGTTTAAAGAGAAATGTGAGGAATGTTCAGAGAAAATGATTGTTGAGAGGAAGAAAAGAGAGGAGGGTAGGGAGGAAGAACTTGAGATCGTCAAGTGATGAGTGAATAAAATTAGTTTTCTGTGTGGTTATTTTAAAGTAAAAGCACTGGTGATAAAGAAGGCAAAAGACAATGTTAGTACATAGAAATAAATCCTGGCAGAGAAGAGTAGGGAAAGGCTGGCACTTAAGACTAAAGTTTTCAGTGAAAAAGTTTTCTCCCACTTAACAGGATTAGGGCAAAGGGGGAAAACTGATCTATGAGCACACAAGGATTATTCCTGCCCACCTCCAAGTAGAACCTAGTATTCTGTCATTATCTTTTAGGAAGAAATGGCAAAGAACATGACACTAAACAAAGTTATAAATATAATCCCTTGCAATCAGGGAATTCATAAACTCCTACTTTACCACCTCAGGACTTAAACACCTCAGCAAATGGTGGATGGTGGTCTGGCGCAGAAAAAGTGCAAGATGAGCCGGGGCAGTCATCTTTTGTACCCCAAAGCAACGGGACATTACCGAGTAGGATTAAAATGACAAAGAAGCCAACTGAACAGACTCCCACTGACCAAAACTGGCACAGTTTGAGGATGAAAAGGAATACTGATTATAACTTATTATAAAACACTGAATAAAGAACAACCCACAGGTAAGATGAAAACAAAGACAACCCTAACCAAAAAGAGTCACAGTTGCCACCCCTGCAGATAATTAGCAGACCAACTGCTTATTCTGAAAATTATAAAGAAAAAGCTTCTCTTTAGAGGCAAAATGGTATGTCTGAAATAAGTGGTTCAAAAAAGAGTGCAAATGTAAAAGCAAAGATAGCAAATACACTGAATCTAGGTGGTAGGTATATGAATATTTAAACTCTTTCAGCTTGACTGTGTTTGATATTTTGAATAAGAAGCTAAAAAAAGAAAAAACCCTCCTTAGCCTTTTAAAAAAGTCACATTACTTTCTAAAAAATAATCTCATCCTTTAAAACTAAATTTTATCCTTTTCAATACATTTTTATAAAATAACATCAACAATTTAGAGTGAAGTCCTGATAGCATAGTACTTTGTGTTTTAAAAAGTATATCTTAGAGTTAAAATGTATGTGCTACACTCATTTAATATTTCTGTTTATGAATAAAATTCACATTTTTAATATATATAGGGCCTAAATATTTTTATAAAAAATATATCAGGATATGAATATTTTATATAGCCTCAAATATATATTCAAATTTGGATTTCCTATACGATCAGATAAAAGAGGCTATCTTATATATTTAAAATCACTGCTATTTTGAGTTAGTAAAAAGTATATACATACTTGATATCTTCTGAGCAAAGGTAAATGTTACTACATGCTCCTCCATGACATTCTCCAAATGCTGTTTTTCTTCTTGTAGTGCCATTCCAATTAAATGTAGCACCTCAAATAAATAGGTTTTATAACTTTTAGTAAAACAGAAGTACATATTTTTATCAGAAATAACAAAAAATAACTCACTATTAAAAAAAGAAAAACTATTAATGACTAAGTGCAACAAAAAAACAATTCGAAGTAGTAATTTTTATTAAATTCAAACTTTACAGTTCATTTTGTAATAAAGCAAGGGAATAATTTCTATTTCAGCTAAGAATAAAATTCAATTGGAAGTTCTTAAAGTAAGTTAAAATTATTTCCAGATATGACCAGCAATTCAAATAACATTTGATATTAAGAAATGCCAAATTAGGGTTATTCTTTCCTTACAGTCTTAAAAATCTTCTAAGAATCAATGGCCAAATAATTAGAGCTGCAAACATCTACCATGTAATTATCTAGTCTGCAATACTACTTAGTTTAATTTCTGTATCTAAAAATCTTAATCATCTCAGAAAGAGACATACTTTTATCTCGAATATCACACAATTTATAAAGATATTCAGAGTTTTTCAGAATATCTCAAAAACTTCTTCACAAAAAAAAATTCCTTACCAGACTTCTAAGAAAACACATACCTACACTGACTTGCTCTGCATTTTTATTGCTCTTACCATGCTTTCCAATTTTGAGGCAGAGGTGTGCATGGTTTCCTCAGACATAGGGCTACTGTGGTTGCAACATGTGCTAAAACTAGGTTAGCCTGAATGACAGGCAGCGAATGTCGTATTAGGACTAGTCAATGAGAGGCAGATTGACCAACAGAACCGACATAATCACAACCATGTGATCTAAAAAAATCTATCAAGCTTGTATTTTATTGGTAGATACAAAAGCAGTAACAATATATTTTAAATTAAGGTAACTCACACTACATTTTTTCTAAATTTTCTATGTACAGATACTGACAAATGTATTTTGGTTTTTACTACAAAACATATAAATAATAAATGTCTTCAAACCTACCCTTTGCAACATGGCCTCAGACCAGGCATATCCATTATGTTCTACAGCCCAGTGCAGTATTGTTCTTATGATGTACAACATGACATCTGACTGCAAAATGTTAACCAGGCTTGCAAACAGAGGGCAGAATGGAGGCAAAATTGGAGGTGGAAGTGCTGAAAATAAAGTTATTATTGGTCTTTTTTTGTAGAACATGCTTAAAAACTATCTCTTTATTAGATACTTTTAATTGTCTTCACTCAAAGAATTATTCATTAACATGCATCTTAAGCTATATTTTACTTTAAGGACAGTCAAATGCCTAAAAACAGCTTCATAAATAACAGTACAAGGGAAAGACTTTCTTTTCCCTAGAAATTTCTTAAAACCTGAGATAAAACCATTAAGCAAGAGATGACTCATATAGACTATTTCTATATTAATATATTTATTAGTCTTATGAATGTTCACTAGGGAAGCTTATATTTAAATCTTCCACTTCACCAGGATATACATCAGTATCAACAGAAAACAATATTTAATAAGTAAGAGACTGACATGAGAATTTTGGAAAAATTAAAAATACCTGTATCTTCCCTATTTTGTCTTTTTAATTTCCGTTGAGCTTCTTCGGCCTAATAAAAGAAAAGTAATTCGCATAGGGACTTAGTAATACAAAACAGCCTAATATCTGAAATTACTGGCATAATCTTTGTTATGTTATCTTGACTTTAGAAGATTTTTATCTTTAGTTTTTCACACTCCACCCCCCCCACATTGATATATCAAGGTTAATTCCCTCCACCCCCACAATGGGTTATTTTGCTTTTAAATGCAGGAGAAACATGTGCAACCAAAAACTATTTAGATTTGAATGCTATGACATCCATCAAAAAACAAAAACTCCATGATTAAGTTTTATTTAATGCCATTTACTGAAAAAGTATTTTCAGAGGAGACTGCTAAAAGACAAAACTTAACTAGCTAAGAATAATTAGGAAAATTCCTAACTCACTATGGAAAGGTTCAATGCTAAGTTGTAGCAATTCTGAAATGAATATAAAAGAAGCTAACTGATTATAATAAAGTTGACAATTTGCCTTCAAAAGCCAATAAAATACAGTTATACCAGGTATGTGTGTGAGTATGTATATAATATAGACCTTATGTATAATATCTATGCACAAAACACTGGGAGTGGGGAAACAGAAAATGTTAGGTAGTGTTATCACCTGTATTATCTTGTTTGTATCTTTTTATATTTTCTAACTTCCCTACAATATAAATGTTTCCCTTTTTAATCTGTGAAAGCAGTAAATTTTGCTTAGACTGAAACAACAATAGGAAAACCCAACCCAACTCAACCCTTCCCCAGTACACTTTTAATTTTTCCAATTACCTTGGACTGCTCGGCCCTTGAAAAGTGATAGAAATATAAGTTAAACTCTTTGGCACATTCTGGTTTCAGTTCATACATGCCTCGTCCTGTTAATCCAGGTTTCCTAGGGGGGAGGAGGGAAAAAAAAAGGTCCTTAAAATATTACTAAAGTCATACACTAATTCATGAAATAGTCTTAGATAATAGGATAAAAAAAAGAGAACTCTTTCCTAGCCAGTTTGGCTCAGTGGTTGAGTGTTGAACTATGAACCAGGAGATCCCAGGTTCCATTCCACTCAAGAGCACATGCCTGGTTGTGGGCTCAATCCCCAATAGGCAGCCAATCAATGATTCTCTTTCATCATTGATATTTCAATTTCTCTCTCCCTCTCCTTTCCTCTCTGAAATCAATAAAAATATATAAGAATAAAACAAAACACAAGAACAAAAACCAGAACTATCATATATTGCTGGTGCGTGTAAGCTGGTATTACTCTCTCTGGGTGAAACTGGCAGTCTACATCTCGAGCTTTACATGCATCCATTTTATCTAGCACACCCACGCCCCGTTTATCCTAACGGGACAAGTGAACCTGATGGTGGTGCAGTGGCAACAATTCAAAGTCTAACATGGAATAGGTTACACACATTATGGCACCTCCAAACAATAGAACAACATTAAAAGTGATGTTAACTTCCATATCTTGACACGTAAAGATGTCTGTAATACCAAGTAGAAAAAAGTAGGTACAATTTTAGGATTTAAAGAATTACTTCCTATATATGTATTTTACATTTTTTTCTTAAAGTGTGTATTGTCTTCATAATTGACAAAAATAACTGCCATTGGGATGGGGAGCCAGGAAAAAGCAGGATGAAGACACTGCCTCAACAATCTTAAGGGGATAAACTAGTTTGCTGACTGGGCCACACACTGGACACAAGAGCCGGCAGCATTTAGAGGCCATTCCACAGTTTAGGTGGCACATTCAAATGGAACAATGAAAGCAATTTTAAGAAGCTTAATGCATTTACTTAGATCACCTGCTCAGGTTAATTTTAATTATCTAACACTATGTGGCTATGAACACCTGTTCTGAATACAAGGAAAATCTTCTAATGCTAGTTTAAGTTACTGAGCACAGGGCTAGATAATAAAAAGTCAGTGAGAAATATAGTTAGGAATTATGTATTTGGAAATGTTACTCTCTGAAGGCAACAATATCATTCTCAGTTCCATCAAATGAGACACTTTTAAAAAAATGAATGTATCAAAAAATTAAATGAAGAAAAAAAGTAAACTCACTTGAAATGGGCAACTGCTTCAATGACACTCTCCATGCCAGTCTCCTTGTTCTCCTAACAGTACAGAAAACAAATGAAAAAGAAGTCATTACCATAGGGAATCAACGAGACAGCTTTAAAAAGGAATCAAGTGAAAAGAAAGTACACACAATATTTAAATAAAATTTATGCACAATACTGTAATATTTTGTGAAGTAGTTATACTACTTTCTCATCTATGTTCAGTAGAACAACATTTCCTAAATCATATCCCATTCACGGATAAGATGTTACTAAGAATACTATGAATAAAGAATTTTCTGGTGAAAAATGTTTGATAAATATAGTTGCAAGGTATATTCACTTTTAAAATGCTGTTTTAAATTTTATTACTCCTTATTCTAAAGTTCAAATGAAACTAATTACTTCTTTATCTAGTAACTCAGGATTCATTTCTTGCATTAAGTACAACTAATTTTCTTCTTAAAATAAAAAACAATTTTTATTGATTTTTAGAGAGAAGAAGGGAAAGAGAAAAACATCACATCAATTGCTGCATGCCCCCTACCAGGGATCAAGCCAGCAACCTCAGGTATCTACGTGCCCTGACCAGGAATAGAACTGGCAACCTTTCAGGCTTATGCAACGTTCAACCAACTGAGCATCACTGGCCAGGCTAAAGAACAATAGCATTTTATCTTACCTCGCTATTTAGGGATATTAAAAAATTATAATTATTGTTTTCTTTTAGGTGTGTTAATGACATATAGACAGATTTTCCTAAAAGCCCTTCTCTTTTAGGTCAGTTTCTCAACATTGGTCCTCTGACCTTTGGACCAGCTAATTCTTTGTTATGGGGTGTGTGTGTGTGTGTGTGTGTTTAGAAATGTCACTAGGACGTGTAAATGTGTGAGCGTGCACATGTACGTGCACACATATCCTGTATACTGTACAATGTTAAGCAGTATACCTGGCCTATGCTCACTGGATGCCTGTAGCAACACACCCTGCCCTGAGTACCAAAGGTCCCCTTGGGGTCAAAATCGTCCCTGGTTAAAAACCACTAGTTTAGATATGTGCAGTTCTATTGATAGATGAAATGGTAAATCTCTACAAAATAATCCCGTGGTGTAGGGACTAGTGGTTGGGGTATAGATAAAACAAGACTGACCATCTGTTGAAGCCAGAGATGGGTTCTTTATGTTTTCTATTTCTATAGATCTTCAGAAATTTTCATAGTGCAAAGTTTAAAAGAAGTATTACTATGCAACAGTATAGGTATAAATTCTAGAAGAATGAAACTAGAGTTCAAAGTTTCTATCTATACTTAAAATTTGGGAAAACATTTTGAAAAGACTCAATGAAAATAAAGTCTGCTCCCAACTGTAAGTTTGGGGTTTCTAAAAAGCCCTTGGCTGAAAAATAGGTGGCTGAGTATTTATTATTCTGGGAGGTAAAGTAATTTAATTAACCTATAAAAGCTCATGTGAATTATCTTTTTACATTCACTAAAGAAGAGAAAGGGTTCACTAAGGAATCTTCAGAAGGAAAAGGTTCCAGAAAATGTTAGTTTACTCAACACAGCTGAATAGGTTTTTCTCTCTCCTTTCTTTAAAATACTTTATCCATGTCAACTTTGTACTAAAGATCTTATAATAACCTCCCTCTAATATATATCATTTTCATATAATGGATATACAAAAAATTAATTTCCAAGGACTAGATTTACTTTTATTTAGCTATTTACCTCTTTCAAAGCTTCACTGTAAAATATTGTATTCCTAACTGCTTTCCTCTCCCAGTCCCTAGTATTCTCTTTTTCTGATTATTTCTAGTAAGAGTGACTAGAGTAATACATGTCCTCGAAATGTGGAAATGATATGTACAATTAAATCTATAAATACTAAGACTGATAGGTAGGAAAAGACTGTTATAATTTTCTTTTTAAAAATGTAGGTACTTACATCTTCAGGTAAAGACTTTACCAATTCACTATGAGCCATAGGTTTGATGCTCAACTGATGGATAATCTCTCGCTTAATTTCATCTGTAGCGTTTACCTGTCCAACTCCAGGACTAAATCTCTCTCCTGTTAACAATGAAAAAGTATACTCACACACACACACATTTAACATAAATACAACACTTATGTGATACATACTTATGATTCACACAACACAACACATTTTTCTTTCTGTACAATGGAAAAGCAATGACTGGCCTGGCAACGAGCTAGGGGAGAGGAGCTCCCAACTGTACTTCTGAGTCTCAGGAACAAGTGGTGAGTGCAGGTTTTAGACAGTGGAGAGAACTCCGGTTGATATTTTGAAAGAATAGAATCAGAAGATAGGACGGAATTAGATATAGTAAAGACGTGGGGCAGCAATAGTGATACCATTTGTCTAGGGGAACTGCTTTCATGCCGGAGAGCCTTTCTCTGTGTCCTATCTAGTGGCAAATAAGCTATCACCTTCTAATACCTCCTTCACTGGTATCACCTCTTGACAGTTGCCAGGAGTCTCTGTGATATAGACTGTATAGAGTCTGAAATAGCAGGTGAGGTAGAAGAAGGTAAGTAAAAGAATAGCCAAGACGGAGGCAACAGGACTGAAAGTATAGGCAATAGGTGTCTGCATCGATTAGCTATAGGTCACTGTTAAGTGGAATTGTTATGTCTTAAGTCAGTATGACACTTTTACACCATAAACCATGGAGGGAAACATAACTAAGATATAAAGTAACAGTAAATAGCTCCTAACTATCCTATTCTTGCTGAATTATCCTGCTCCTCCTACCCCCAAAACACTAAGAGTCTTCACTTTATTCTGCTTCGGCAGCTGTGTTCTCTTTACCCCAAAGCAACAGGCTGTCACTCTCACCACTACAGTAATCAGAGAGAGAAACATCTCCTTCCCCTAAAACTGAGTAATCACTCAAAAAAAAAAAAAAAAAAAAAAAAAAAAAAAAAAAAAAAAAAAAAAAAAAAAAACATGGTTGAGAAATTCTGAACTACATGCTACCACAACAATGTAATTTATAAATGTCTCAAAACAATTCAAACTTACCAACCAGCATTATAATGAGGTATAGCATTTCTTCTATTAGAGTATTGTTTTGCTGAACTACATCCTATAACAAGTGGGGGAGGGAGAAAGAGAGAGAATACAGTTCAGAGATAAGAATAAAGATACTGTATTACTTCAATGACTAACGTAACAAAAAATGAAAGCTGTTTCTTTAATGATGTGTTGTGGTCTCATGAAACATACTCTTACCTTATGGGTAGTTTCAGAACTAAGTCTTTTCCCATAGTCTGGAGTACTGAAAATTTGATAAAGTTCAAAGCGACTGAGCATTATCATCAGGAAATGATTTGGATCCATCATGGAGACACCTGTCTTTTTTTTTTTTTTTTTTAGATGAAGAAAAAGAGGAAGGTCAAAAGCACTATTAAACAATCAGTGAAGAATATTTTGGTTTGCACAAGAGAAAGCTGCTTACCTGTTCACCAATCCCAATAAAAGATGGAAACCCATTAGCCCATTCCCTGCTGTGGTAGCTTTAAGTGTGGACAGGGCTCTAAGCTAGTAAAACAGAACCAAACCACCCCCTAAACCCACACACCAGAATAATGTGGATTTTATGTTCTCTTTTCTCTTAATGCTTTGAATTAATTGTATCCCTCTGGATTCAATTCTAAAGTTTTATTTCAGCTTTCCATTATGGCATATTCAGAGAATTTATATCTATATAAATAAAGAGGTAATATGCAAATTAGGCCGGGAGTAACGACCGGACAGGAGGAGGTTGTGCATGCAGGTGAGGCCCAGAGTGGAGCCGGAGAGAGGCAGGGGGGCCTGCCCAAGGCGGCGTGTCCCGGCCCGACCCCCCGCAGGGTGCCTCCTTGCACGATCTCAATTGCGCACTGGGCCTCTAGTGTTAACAAAGTTAAGTATCACAGTTCTTGGAAATCAATTTAAGGGGTTGGGATTTTAGCCAGAGGAGAATGAAGAAAGGATAGCTTTCAGGTTTCTTACTTCAACTATATAATAGTTGAACATTTCACCAAGGTAGAAAATCCAAGAGATGAAGAAGGTATAGAGGAAGTAAGAGTTATATTTTGAATATGTTAATGTTAAATCTGAAATGTGTGCAAAAATCTAGATGAAAATGTCCTATAGCCCATTAGTCATATAAGTTTGGAGTTTAGTAGATGGGGCTAGGCTAGATTATAGATCTGGGAGTGCTTATAAGTGTTTGGGTTCTATGGAATAAACAAGAAGAAAAATTCTCCCCATACTGTTACGTGTAATGCTTTTAATTCATTACCTGAAGCATTATTATATCCTTGTCAAACATTTCACGTCTGCACTTCACATTATGGTAGTAATAAATCTAAAAAACAAAATTGATTATATTGGGTAAATAGGTTTTCATTTGTGCAGCTCCCTCCTTTCCCCACATTCTGAAAGAGCTAATGGGTTTTGGGCAAGTATGCATGCCCACACACAGTGTGGTTTCTGCAATAATCCTATCTAATAAAAGAGTAATATGCAAATTAACCACCTTCCCTGTTACACCCACATGCCATGCCCACCAGCCAATCAGGAGAGGCTTGGGTTTCCCTGGCAATGGAGGAAGTCAAGCTTTCCGCCTGCTATTGCTGGCCTAGGCCTCTACTCAGGGCAACAAAGTTTCAATTATAGAAGATACATAAATCCAAACAGAAATCCATGAAGCTGGAAGAGCAGGAGGCTAGGGTTGGCCACCCCCTATGAAGGAAGCCAAGCTTCTGAAGCCCTGGCCTGCCTTGGCCTCTGCTCCAGGCTACAAAGTTTCAACTATAGAAGATACATAAATCCCAATAGAAATGGCTGCAGCCACGGAGCAAGAAGAAGGCTTGGCTCCGCTCCGGGCTACAAAGTTTCAATTGTAGAAGGTAAATAAATTACAGAAACCAGGGGCTCCACATGGGTTGCCAGAGAGCGTGGCAGGCCTGCAAACCACCACAGGCCCCTCGCCCAGGCCACCCCACGTCCCAAGGGAACCCTTACCCTGATCTGGGACACCCTTCGGGAAAAACTAGCTGGCCTCCATCTATGTACCATGCCTCTATCCTATCTAATAAAAGAGTAATATGCAGATTGATCATCACTTTAATACACAAGATGGCTGCCCCCATGTACCTATATTAAAATTGAGAAAATAAAGATCCTGCCCCCATGTAGACACAAGATGGCCACCACAAGATGGCCAGCAGGGGAGGGCAGTTGGAAGAGACCAGGCCTGCAAGGGAGAGCAGTTAGGGGTGACCAGGCCTGCAGGGGAGGGCAGTTAGGGGCAAAAAGGCTGGCAGAAGAGCAGTTAGGCATCAATCAGGCTGATAGGCAGAAGCGGTTAGGGGCAATCAGGAAGGCAGGTAGGCGAGCAGTTGGGAGCCAGCTGTCCTGGATTGTGAGAGGGATGTCCTACTGCCCGTAAAAGGGCAGTAGGACATCCCTTGAGGGGTCCCAGATTGGAGAGGGTGCAGGCTGGGCTGAGGGACACCCCGCTGCCCCCCCCCCCCCCCCCCGGCCCCGTGTACGAATTTTGTGCACCAGCTTCTAGTACTCTTAATAAAAATTAATGAATTAAAATTTTCCAGATTTCAGTGGTCACTCCATGGTTCACATTTGGGATCCAATTTTCTGAATTTCTTAACAAAGTTATTTCTATAAGGTTCATAGCTAAGAAAAATGGGGTAAGGTGTGGGGGGGCAACCTATATCAACCCTTGGTAAGGTTTAAAAACTAAAGCCTCGGGACCGGTTTGGCTCGGTGGATAGAGCGTCGGCTTGGGGACTGAAGGGTCCCAGGTTCGATTCCGGTCAAGGGCATGTACCTTGGTTGCGGGCATATCCCCAGTAGGGGTGTGCAAGAGGCAGCTGATCGATGACTCTCTCTCATCGATGTTTCTAACTCTCTATTTCTCTCCCTTTCTCTCTGTATAAAAATCAATAAAATATATTTAAAAAAAAACAAAACAAAAACTAAAGCCTCAATTTTGGAGTTATACTAACAGAAATTTTATCTTTAAACCTAATTTAAGTAGATAAAATCTGAATTTTAATTTTTAAAAATATCCAATTTTGTCCTAAAAATGATTGCAAGTGAAAAATCAAGAAAAGTGCACTCCTGTCTTTAATATTGTTTCTTGACAAAGTATAGATAAAAGTTTTAAAAACTTTTTTGGTTTAATGTATTTATTTTCTCAATTTTAATATAGGTACAACTTTCAATGACTAAGTAGATTGAAAATTATATCCTTCACAGAAGCCAAGGAATGAATTGAAAAATCTCCGTAGGATTAAAAGACACTTACCTGGTTTACCAGAGAGAACCCATTTCTTCTCCACATTCCTGCATGTACTTGGGCACATAAAACAAGACATCTAAGAGGGTATTCTATCAACATAGGTGGGCTAAGTTCACTCTGTATATACAAAAACAAAAACACCGTCTGAAGAATACCGTTTGATAGAGAAAGAAGTATTAACTAAAACACAAGTTAAAATTCTTTCAAAGTATGTTTTTGTGGTTAATTTTATGTCAATTGGGCTAGGCCATGGTACCCAGTTTTTTTTAAGACCAGTCTAGATGTTGCTCTGAAGCTATTTTGTAGATGTGGTTAATATTTAAATCAGTAGACTTTGAATAAAGCAGATTATTCTTTATATCAGGGGGTGGGCCTCATCCAATTAGCTGAAGGTCTTAAGATAAAGACTGAGGTCCTCCCAAACACAAAGAATTTCTGCTTCCAGATTGCCTTTGGGCCTCAGACTGCAATATCAAAGTTGTGAATCCGGCCTGGCCTGTCAAACTGCCCTGCAACCGTATTTTAGACTTGCCAGACCTCACAGCTGCATGAGCCAATTCCTTACAATAAATCGTTCTGTCTCTTCCTCTCTCCATACATAAACACATGATTGTGCGCGCGTGCACACACACACGCGCGCGCGCGCGCACACACACACACACACACACACACACACACTCTTTTTCCCCCTCTATTGATTCTGTTTCTCTGTAAAACCTTGACTAATAAACTTTGTTTCAAAATGATTTCAAGTACATGAAGCGTAATAAACAGGCATTTACTTTTAAAGTTAATACTACTTACTAGAGGTAGGAGCTCTGGAAATTTATATGCCACTTCACTTTTGCTTAATAAAACGTGCAAACCTACATGGAAGAACAAAGAAAATGTATTTTTATAAGTGAAACTCTTTAAGAGAAAAAAAAACCCTAAATATTTACTTACCTTTATATTTAACTTCTTTTCTCTTTGAGAACCTATCATGCTACAAATTATGATATAGAATGAATTACATTAATAAATAAAGCTTTATTCTCATGAATCTCTGTATCAAAGACACACTTGAAACTAGTCTTAATTACATGTACCAACATACACTGATAACATTTTCTAAGTAAATGTTAGGCATAGAAACATAGCAAGAGCAGCAATATAACTATCAAAGTAATTTATATGTGTTTGCCAACTTTAACAGTCATAAATCACTTGGTAATGGAGTTTCTTCCCACTTAAAAGTTCTATAGTGAGAGATTCTTCTGGAAACTGAACAGAGAAACTGGCCCTGGGATTCACCATATTGATCCTAACCTCAAAATCAAGTTCTCCAGAAACTTCCAGTTTAGGATCAAAGCTCTTTAGTTCCTAAATGCAAGGGCTCGTTCATAGCTCAACCTTGGATAATTCTGTTAATTAAGAATTGTCTTGTTTATGTTGTATAAATAGAGAATGCTTTTTTACAATTTTATCAATAAACTAGAGGCCCAATGCACCAAATTTGTGCAAGGACCTTGGCCCCTGCCACCACCACGGCCGCCTTTGCCTTGGACCCTGCCTGTCGCTGCCACTGTCACCGCTTCTGCCTCGGCCCCCACACACTGCGGCTTTGTCTGAAAGGAAGGACATCTGGTCTAATTAGCATATTATGCTTTTATTATTAAAAATATTGGCCACTTGGTAAGCCTGGTTTGAGGCTTTCCTCATCCAAGAAGATTTGCATTATGAATCCCATTCTAATAACATATACAGTACTCTCAACATTTGCCATTCAAGCTCCATTAGCACACACTCCCAGTTATTCTTAAACTGTTTTGGGTATGCTTACTTAGCTCTCCAATTAGATCATAAGCATTCGGGCCAAGGCTTGTCAAACAGAGTGAGACAGAATGCTCAAAAATGTTCAACAAGACCCCGGCCAGTTCTGCTCAGTGGTTCGAGGGTCACGGGTTTAATTCCCAGTCAAGGCACCTGACCCCGCTGTAGGTTCCCCAGCACTGGTGGGGCACGCGCAGGAGGTAACCAATCAATGTTTCTCTCTCACAGCCATGTTTTCTTTCTCTCCCCTGTTCCTCCCTCCCTTTCCACTTTTTAAAGAAATCAATGGAAAAAAAATTTCTCAGATAATGATAAAAAAATAAGTTCACTTTAGGGAGAAAAAAACAAAAACAAACCTAAAGTGAGGTGAGGGAGCTTAATGAGGTAGGCATAAAATGGTACATTTCAGAGTATTGACTATTTTCTCTGTGGATAATTATCAGTATCAGTTACCACCCACACAACCAGATTTTTAAAGGCAGAAAGCTCAGCAGCTGAGTCTGAGCCAGGACTCACTTTCCTGTATTCCAGGGGAATATCACAACACTGTGGTGATACTTGCCCATACTGAGAATCAAGTTCAGTATGCTCACAGCACTTTCAAACAACAAATCTGGGCCTGAATTAGTTACAGGAATTAAGAGGTTTCTTCTTACATTCTCAACGTCAGTCTAGGTAGTTATATGCTATATACTATTGATATTCAGATGTCTAAGTTATATCACCATGATTGCAATAACAACCCAAAAGACTTCAGAAATGAAAGAGGGATTGTTACTATTGATCCCATGGACATTGAAAGGATAAAAAAGGAGTACTATGAACAACTCTATGCCCACAAGTTTGATACCTCAGGTGAAAAGGACTGATTTCTTGAAAAAGAAAAACTATCAAACTCATACAAGCAGAAATGGGTAATTAGAACCAGCCTATATCTACTAAAGAATTGATTCAATAATTGATTCTATCATCACTGATGTTTTGAAATCTCTCTCCTTTCCTTTCTGACAAACAAAAGAAAAGAAGGAAGGAAGGAAGGAAGGAAGGAACGAAGGAAGGAAAGAAGGAAGGAAGGAAGGAAGGAAGGAAGGAAGGAAGGAAGGAAGGAAGGAAGGAAGGAAGGGAGGAAGGAAGGAAGGAAGGAAGGAAGGAAGGAAGGAAGGATACCAATTCACCACAATCTCTTAGACACACAACCACTTCCACATCATATTATTACTGAGTTAGCTACACACTTAAGATAAAACACAAATTCTGCAATTACTAAAAATAGCTAGCTTCAGATCTTCTCTTTTCTAATCTGGAACTAAAGGAAACAATAAATATTACGTGTATAGGACAAGCATTCCTGAATCAAGAAATATGAAAGGAAGTATAATGAAATGAGTCTGTAGAGATGGATAAGTACATTTCAAAGTTTTTGGCTGCTGCAAGGTGGCAGCTTCAAATATTCTACCAAGAATAAATGGCTTGTAAATCAACTATTTACAATGAAAAAAATCATCACCCCAACTTGGGGCTCATTCTTGACCTGCTGCTTAAAAAGCTTATTAATAAATGATTAAGAAACAGTTTATGAGATAAAACCTAGGGTGGTTTCAATTTGTCAGCAATCACTTAAGCAAACTTAATTATAATATCTACCTCATTGACTGATGTGATGATTAAATAAGTTGACATACATAAAACTCAGACTGTGAGATAGATATTCAACAAACATTAACCACAAAAAAACACACAAAACACACACACACACACACACATGCACACACACACAAAAAACCACACAACACCTCAAAACAATTTAAAATATATTTTCAGAGTTTTCATGGGGAGAAATGCTTTACCTGCAAGTAAGCGAGTAACTGGGAGGTGAATGCTAACTTTTTTTTGAGAAACACAGTATCTGATAGTTTCCACTGAATGTCCACAAATGCTTAATGTGACTGGCTGTTCACCATCAGTAAAACCACCATGACACTGCATCAATACAGCAAGGCATTTCTTGTAAGCTTCAATTAACACTTTTTCCTTAAAAAAAAAAAAAGAAGAAAAAAAGTATTTTGTAAGTTATTCCAAAATTAAATTTTTATAAAATTGAATAAAGCACATCAAATTCAACAATGATTAAGTACCTCAAATATTAACACAGGCAAAATCAAGCCCAATCATCCCTTCCCAACCTGGTCTCTCTTCCGGTGCTTGTCTCAGTGAATGAAATCTCTACAGCTGTGAAATCTAGGAGATATTCCAATATCCTCCTTTCCGTCATTCCTCACTGTCCCATCTACCAAGCTATCAATTTCATCTTCTAAATTTCTTTCAAACCTGGCCACTCATTATATCTCTAGTAACTCAAAGGAAAGCCAATTCTATTATAAATTCACTCTATTATAAATTCCTTACTCTTGCTCCCCTCCATATAAAGCAATTTTTAAAAATGCATAAATTGGACTATGTCACCTTTCTCCTTGGTAGTCTCTAATGGGTTTCCACTTCAATTAGAATAAAATCCAAACTTCCTTCCATGGCCCCCAAGGTCCTGCAAAATTTACTTAAAAATCTGTCCACTTCTCTACTTTTAACCGCTACGCTCCAACCAGAGAATTCTCACAGCTCCCCAACAATACTTCTCATTACAGAGCATGATTAAACTGTCTCTCAGTCAGGAATATTCTTTACTGTTTGATCAGTTAACTTTGACACATAGCTCAGATCTAATGGAAGCCTTCTCTGACTTCTCAACTTAAACAAGCTCTCATCTAGACTTTATAATCAAAATAAGAACAAAAGAATTTTAAGATAGAACAAATATACCAATAGTAAAACTTTATTTTTGGATAAATTTAGAAATTATTATTTTTATATGCTCAAAATCTAAATGGGATAATGGAAGAAATAAAGACAGAAATATAAGAGAAAGAAAGTATGGATTATTCCTCCTATATATGTTTTCCAAGTTTTTAAAAAAGACTTTAGAATTTTAACTTTTGCCGAGACCGGTTTGGCTCAATGGATAGAGCGTCAGCTTGGGGACTGAAGGGTCCCGGGTTCGATTCTGGTCAAGGGCATGTGCCTTGGTTGTGGGCATATCCCCAGTAGGGGGTGTACAAGAGGCAGCTGATCGATGACTCTCTCTCATCGATGTTTCTAACTCTCTATCTCTCTCCCTTCTTCTCTGTACAAAATCAATAAAATATATTAAAAAAAAAAAAAAAAGAATTTTAACTTTTACTGAATTAATAGGTAGAAGTGGAAAATACACTCTTTTATGAGCTAAGTATCTCCACTATCCTCCCTGAAGCTCCTCCAAATTTACTTAAAAATCTGTTTATTCCCCTTCTCCTCCATCTTTCCCTATCTCCTATCCCTAAAAGAAACTCACGTCTACAGCACACCAATCCTGCATCATGGAAATAACATGTGTTAATTTCATCTGCAATGTGAAGGCTGCTTCCCATTCTGGTTCCATTTCAATATGCTGTCCTACTTGACGTGTAACAGGATCCATTCCCTTAAAGAAAGTGAAAAGATTTTAAATGAATTAAAGTTATATTTGTTCTCTTACATGAAAACTTAAAAAATAATGTAGAGGAAATACATACTGATAAAAAAAATCATAAGAATTTTCAATAGTATGAGAAAGTTCAACTTCTTTAATTATTCTCTAAAATATACATTAAAAATCCTAGTAAAGTATATAGCAAATTATTTTAGAGGCAATCTTCCATAAGTTTTAAACAATAAGAAAATACTTTACTGCAACAATCTTTCGAATTCTGTTTTAGGTCTGTTATCTATAGGAAAATTATTGGAAGAAGTCTGATAAAATGTTACTGAACTAATAGATGTATTTTATTCAAAATGACCAAAATAGGTATTATTTCTATAGATACCCCAAACACCACAAAACAAATAAGTATTATTATAAATTTAAACACCAGAGAAAAATTTTAAATAAACATTCTAACCTACACCTAAAAGAACTAGATAAAGAAAACAAGAAAGGCCCAGAGTAAGTAGAAGAAAGGAAATTACAAAGATCAGAGCAGAAATAAATGACATAGAAACTGTAAGAAAATACTATAAATAACTACATGCCACAAACTGAACAACCTGGGCAAAATAGACAAATTCTTAGGAACATCAAATCTTCCAAATCTGAATAGAAGAATAAAAATCCAGAACAGGCCAATAACAACTAATGATATTGAAGTAGTAATTAAAAAAACTCCCAGCAAAAAGTTTTGGACCGGATGGCTTCACAGGCAAATTTTACAAAATATTCTAAGAAAATTTAACACTTATCTTCCTCAAATTATTCCAAAAAACTCAAGAGGAGGGAAGACTTTCAAGCTCTTTTTATAAGGACAGCATTATTCTAATTAAAAAACAACAACAGATAAAGACACTACAAAGAAAAAAAAAGATACGCCAGAATCTTTGATGAACATAGATGCTAAAATCCTCAACAAAACATTAGTAAATCAATAAATGTGATGTATCACATAAACAAAATGTAAGATAAAAATCACATAATCATATCACAGATGCAGAAAAAGCATTTGATAAAATTCAGCACCCATTTATGATAAAAACTCTCAGCAAACAAAGTGGAAATACAGGGATCATACATCAACATAATAAAGGCTATTTATGAAAAACCTACAGCCAACATCATATTCAATGGGCAAAATCTAAAAGTGTTTCCCTTAAATTAAGAAACAATACAAGCATGTCCACTTTCACTACTCTTATTCAATATAGTACTGGATACATAGTACTTGCCACAGCAATCAGACAAGAAGAAATAAAGGGCATTCAAATTGGAAAGGAGGAAGTAAAACTATACGGAGATGATATGATATTGTATATAGGTAACCTTAAAGACTCCAACAAAAAGCTATTAGATCTAATAAATGAATTCAGTAAAGCAGCAGAATATATCATAATATTAAAAAACCAGTGGGGCATTTTTATACACCAATAAAGATCAGAAAGAGAAACTAAGAAAACAATCCCACTTATTGTAACAAGAAAGTAAAGTACCTAGGAATAAATTTAACAAAGAGATAAAAGACCTGTACTTATAAAATGATAGAATATTGAAAAAAGAAACAGAGGAAGACACAAACAAGTGCAAGCATATACTTTGTTCATGGGTTGGAAGAATTAACATCATTCAAGTGTCCATATTACCCCAAGCAATGTATGCATTCTGTGCAATTCCTATAAAGTACCAATGGTACATTTCACAGATTTATAACAAATATTCCAAAAATTTATATGAAACCTAAAAAGACCATGAGTAGCCTCAGCAATCTTGAGAAAAAAGGACAAAGTTGGAGGGAATACAATAGCAGATATCCAACTCTAGTACAAAGTCACTCTAATCAAAACAGCCTAGTACTGGCACAAGAACAGGAGTTATAGATCAATGGAACAGAACAGAGCCCAGAAATCAATCCATGCTTTTATGGCCAATTAATATTTGACAAAGGAGGCAAGAGCATAAATGGAGACAAGACAGCATCCTCCTTCCTTCCTTCCTTTCTTAAAATATATATTTTAAAAACATGATGAGATTAGCCAAAGAACATATATGTATAACCTATGATCACAGACAACAGTGTGATGAAGGCCAGGGGAGAAGAGTCAGGGATTGGGAAGAGGAGGACAAAGAGGGGGAAGATAGGGGATATCTGTAATAGTGTGAACAACAACAAATTAAAAAAAAAATCACTACCAACATGGAACTCGAGTATTTTCTAAAAACAGTAAGTCAACTATGTGTATTCCTTTCTTAAGAAAAACCAGATAGTTACTAAAAGAATCATAACACCGCTTAGATTTTCTGAGATGTCATCCATCTCCTCAAAGTTAAAATTAGTTATATATGCCAGTTTGTTTCTGTTTCTAGATTATATTTTGTATATGAGGTGTTTCCAAACGAGATAATTAAACAGAGGGGGAAGAGTTCTATACTACATTATATAAATATCTAAAGGAAAAAGAAATATGGAAACATTAAAAAAATCCAAACATTATAGTTTCTTAAATAACTGACAATACTTCCATATATGCATATTAAAAAAACTTGCAACCTCCAAAGAAAGAATGTAAATTGTGACCAAAAGAAAAACCTAATACAAAAGACATGAGAGCCCTGGTTGGATGGCCCAGGTGGTTGGAGTGGCATACCATGCACCAGGAAGTTGCGGGCTTGATTTCAAGTCAGCACACATACCTAGGTTGTGGGTTCGATCCCTGATCAGGCGTATAGGGGAGGCAACTGATTGATGTTTCTCTCCCCCATCGATAACAAACAAACAAAATAAACATGTCCTGGGGTGAGTATTAAAAAAAAGGAAAAACAATGTCAGAACCTTTGGTAGGATTTCATTCATTCTACAACTTTCTAAGAATTGCAAATTAAAGAGGTGCTTGTTGGTCCAAATTGTAGCCATATAAATCATTCTTTTGGAGATGTGCCCAAAAGGAAATAAAACCATAGACAGAGAGGTGTTCACTTCAATGAAAAAAAAAAAAAAAAAAAAAAAGGAAGAAAAAAAGAAAAAGGAGAGTGTTTCCTTTTAAAAATCTATCAGTTTATGCATACCTGCATACATTTGAGTAATTCCAAAAAGGCATCAAATCCTTCTAGGAACTTCTGCCTGAGATCATCTGACCATTCAGTTGGTTTACTAATCAACACATACCTAAAAAAGAGAAAAATACCAATGAATATATAGATAAACGCTGACATTTTACAAGTTGCAACTGGTTTGATAATTAAATAAAAACTTACTTTAGGTCTAAAATAAGGCTCTGAACTCTTCTAAATCTGAAGGCTTGTAAAGCAGTATATCGTTCAAACTGAAATCTACCCTGGGCATCTCGATGTCTCAAATGATCCATAAAAGTCTTAATGATAATGGTCAGCAGGTTTTCTTCTATGATGAGCATTCGAGCCTAGAACAAAGGGTAACAGACCACATGGTAATCAAAACCTATTTACTAGAAATCTAAGAAAACGTCACCAACTTTGGTAGGTTTTCAGTTTATAGCTTTTCAACATAATCAGAGTATGATAAAATAAATAATACATTACTGTGTATTTCTAAATAACAATTACTTACTCCATTTGCCACTTGTATGAAGCAAAAACTATATCATGGAGAAAGATGCCAGAATGTTAGGAGACACATCCAAGGCTCTTATTCAAAGACAATTCAGGGTGGGGGCCTGAACCAGGCTGCAAATTTTCCTTAACTGAGATATTTAGACACCTATAATGGTATGGTATAATTACTCTAGAATCCAGAGGTTTATTATCACATATTCTATAGAAGTTAGTATCTATATATATATAAAATCCTAAGCAACTATTACAACCAAACTACCAGAACAACCGGTTGCTATGACACACACTGACCACCAGGAAGCAAATGCTCAATGCAGGAGTTGCCACCTGGTGGTCAGTGTGCTCCCACAGCCAACCTTCCCCACCAGCCAATCTCCTGTGGTTCCTGCCCCTGGACAGCAGGCCCCGATTTCCTGATCATGGCTAGGCCCTGGACTGGGACAGAGAATTAGGGGTGGGTGGCAGTGGATGCAACCCCTTTCCCAGGGGGCTTGGTAGCCAACCTCCTGTGCCCCATCCCTCCCCACAGTAGACAGGCCCCATGGTGGCAAGGCTATGAGGGAAGGAAGAGGGGTGGAATGTGGGGGACTGCACAGTGGCGGGGCGCCGATGATGGTGGTGTCGGCATTCAGCGCCCATTCCTTCTGTGTCTGGCCTGGTGACCATCACCTCCTCTCCCGACCCCACTGGGAGCTTCAGGCCCCAGACTGTGATGGAGAACCAGGGGTAGGTGGCAACGAATGTGGCCTCATTCCCAGGGGGGCTGAGGGCCAGCTCCCTCCTTGGGGCTGGTGGCCAACCTCCCATGCCCCATTCTTGCCCCGGTCAGCAAGCCCTAATCGGCCTGCTGCCTGCCCATTGTGGTGGCAGCGTGGTGGAGTGGAAAGGAGGAAGGGGGAGGCGGGGAACCACATGATGGCAGGGCGCTGACATTGGTGGTATTGGTGTTGGGTGTCTGTTCTTTCCTCACCCGGCCTGATGAATGTCGCCTCCTCTACCGACCCCACTGGGGCCTTTGGGCCCCAATTGGCCCTGATCATTGGCCAGACCTAGGGACCCCACCTGTGTATGAATTTCATGCCCTGGGCCTCTAGTTTACATATAATAATAAATATTCATATTTATATATATGCACATATATACATTTATAATAGCTGGATTAAGAGTTAAGTGGATAAAAGTATGGATATATATAATTATATCCACCCCTCACCAAGAATAGCATATTATAAATATTGTTCTACACTTTATTTCACTTAATATATTTTAGAGATTGTCCCATATCAATTCATATAAATTCCTTTATTCTTTGTAACTATCACTAGGTATTATTTGGTATCATACTTTTATTTAGCCAGGCCCTTACTGGTGAGACATTTCTTTTTCCCCAGTCTCATTTATTACAAAAGATACTACAACAAATATCTACTCTATACAGTTGAAAGAATATTTGTAATTTCCTAAAAGTGGAATTACTGTGTTAAAGTGTATGTACATTATAACTTTTGACTGATATCACCAAACTCTCCTCTCAAAGAACCTTTCCAATATATATTCATCTACAATGTGTGATTTCCCCTCGCCCTCAATAACGCAATGTAATTTCAAACACTTTGATGTCTATCATTCCAATGGCTTTAATTTACATACCTTACTATAAGGTTAAAATTATTTAACAATTTGCATTTCCTTTCTTGCTCCTCAGCAAGTTACAAAAGTCTAATATTACTCTGAATGTCACATATTACTCTGATATAAAAGATCATGTATTTCTCTGCACTTGTATAGTTTAACTATGTTCCAAGCTGTTTAACTAGATCTTACATTAGCCAATATCAGGTTTATTAGCAATATAGAAAGCTGCATCAGAAAGTAGGACCAAGAAAAAAAAGTAGGACCAGCCTGGCCAGTGTGGCTCAGTTGCACTGAGAGGCTGCCAGTTCCATTTCTGGTCAGAGCACATGAAGAGATTGTGGGCTAGTTCCCCTGTAGGGGTGTGCAAAAGGCAGCCAATCAATGTTCTGCTCTCACATTGATGTTTCTCTCTCCCTTCCTCTCTCTCTAAAGATCAAGTAAAAAATCTTTTTTTTAAAAAAAGGGGGCAGGGAACCAAAAATGCAAAAGAAAGAAGTCTGAGACTATAGTGAAGTTGTATTCTAATGTAGAGATTAAATTCTAAGGTTATCAGGTAAGGAGAAAAAAATATATACATCAACAGGGATTAACTGTTGAAAACTGAGGTCAAGTTTGAAGGAGAGGAGGTGTTAACAGATTGAGTAAAAAGATTTTCCTTTTTTTTTTTCATGCTGTATTAGTTGATTTTGATAAGAAGTTAAGTGAATATAATGCAATTTCGCTAACTAAGGGAAAACATTGTAGAGCCTGCTTACAAAACTTATAACAGGCAGTAAAAGGAAGTTTGGTGGAGTGACAACTTAATATTGGTGTAATGTAAATTTCACCAACTGAGGCACTTACTAGCAATTTCAGTTTCATATGAATGTTGAAAGAGATGGCTCATCCACTACATAGGCTTGGATTGGATTCTAACTTCTTTACTGTCTATACTAAGGGATCACCCCATTAAAGTAGGGAATTTATTAAGGTATTTCTACTTCTAAAAAGATAACTAAAGAAAGTGTGTATTTTTCAGGATACAACAGAAAAGAAAAACTTTAAGTGCTTGTCTGTATCACCTCATGCCTAGATTGTTGCTAACTTGCAATGAGAGCCCTGGCTGGTGTGGCTCAGTTGGCTGAGTGTTGTCACATGCACCAAAAGGCTGCCAGCTCGATTCCTGGCACATGCCAGAGTTGTGGGCTCGATTCCCAGTAAGGGGAGGGGGAATGCAGGAGGAAGCAATTGATGCTTTTCTCTCTCTTTCTTTCTCCCCCTTCCACTCTCTCTAAAATAAACAAAAACATATATTTAAAAAAGGCAACGAGAAAGAGAGAATGGGGTAGAAATCATATTTAAAGACAGAATGGTTCCAAAATTTTGAAAAGGCCTCAGACTAGAGATTTAATATTTACAAATCACAGTATTTATAAATATAAAGAAAACCACATCTAGGTAAATCACAGTAAAACTGCAGAGATCTAAGGTAAATGTCAGTAAAGCATTATTAGGTATTCCAAGTGACTATGAATGAAAAGTGGTAAATATTAATAAAAAAACTCAAACAGTAAGAATAAAACTATAGATGATCATATAATGGTATTTTCAGACAATGATTTGAAAATAGCTATGATTTATATATTCAGGAAACTTAGGAAAAGATAAAGAGTTTCACCAGAAAACTGGAATGCATTAAGAAAAAAAAAAAAAAAAAAAAATATATATATATATATTTTTTTTTTTAAATTTTATTTATTATTATTATTTTACTGATTTCAGAGAGGAAGGGAGAGGAAGACAGAGAAAGAAACATCAATGATTAGAGAGAATAATTGATCAGCTGCCTCCTGAACACTCCCATACTGGGAATTGAGTCTGCAACCCGGGCATGTGCCCTTGGCTGGAATCAAATCTGGGACCCTTCAATCCGCAGGCCAATGCTCTAATCACTGAGCCAAACCAGCTCAGGTTGAAATGAATTATTTATTTATTTTATGAATTTACTAGAGGCCTGGTGCATGGATTTGTGTACTGGTGGGGTCCCTCACACTGGTGCACAATCAGGATTGGGAAAGGACTGTGGGAGGGCTCCAGAGCATGTCTGGTCCATTTCACCCAGTCCCACTAGCCTGTTTCTCCCAGTCCTGATCGGCCAGACCCTAGCAGCAAGCTAACCTACTGGTTAGAGAGTCTGTCCCCTAGTGGTCAGTGCGCATCATAGCTATTGGTTGAATGGTCGAATGGTTGCTTAGGAAGGTAGGTAGGTAGGTAGGTAGGTAGGTAGATAAGATTTTTGTTTTGTTTTGGAATGTATTTAGAACACACCACAAACTTCACTTTAGGGTTCAGGTAAGATGGAGTACATGTACTTTTTTCTAGTACATTTTCCCACTAAGTACAACTAAAAACTCTGGACATTATATGCAAAAGTAACACCAAAGACTCTGAAAAGCAGTGAGGACCTTAGATTCTGAGGTCTGGGACCTCAGAATCCAACAAACGACATGGGAGAATTCTTTGTTTTCACTTCATATATCCCAGACATGGAACTGGAGAAGCTGGCAATCTGCAAATGCCAATGGGAACAGACTTAAAAATTTTCTTTTTAAAAATGCCCTGATAGCCGAAACCAGTTTGGCTCAGTGGATAGAGCATCGGTCTGCGGACTGAAAGGTCCCAGGTTCGATTCTGTCAAGGGTATGTACATTGGTTTCGGGCACATCCCCGGTGGAGGGTGTGCAGGAGGCAGCTGGTCGATGTTTCTCTCTCATCAATATTTCTAGCACTCTATCCCTCTCCCTTCCTCTCTGTAAAAAATCAATAAAATATATTCAAAAACAAATAAATAAAAATGCCCTGATAAAAGCCTGTTCTCTCTAGCCACAGGAAAGGAATAACTTAACAAAACTTTCAGATAATAACCACTCCACTCTAATAAACCCCCACAGAAATAAATTGGGGCTCTATTCCCACTGACACCTGCAAAGGCAGAGTGGAGAATCTACACTTTTACTCTTAAGAGGCAGAAATGTGGTGCTTGACTACAATTTAGGATGCATGTCACAACCTCCAGGGCAATGTTGCTCAAAATATGGTCCACAGACGAGCAATCTAAAAACTGCTTTTTGCCTGTTGTGATGAGAAGTTGGCAACAAGATAAAATCAACTACTTGTAACAGTTCAGTTGACATTATTTTTCATAGCAAGATTTTCTAAAAAGAAAAAAATGTTTTAAGAAGGAGAGAAAGGAAGGAGAGGAGGGAAGATACATTGATTGGTTGCCTCCTGCATGCATTCCAGTTTTCTGGGGATCAAACCTGAAACCAGGTATGTGTCCTTGACCTGGAATTGAACCTGAGACCCTTCGGTGTTTGGGCTGACCACTGAGCAATACTGGCGAGGGCCACAGCAAGATTTAAAAATATATATATATATATATTTTATTGATATTTTACAGAGAAGAAGAGAGAGGGATAGAGAGTTAGAAATAACGATGAGTGAGAATAATCAATCAGTTGCCTCTTGCACACCCCCCACTGGGGATGTGCCTGCAACCAAGATACATGCCCTTGACCGGAATCGAACCTGGGACCTTTCAGTCCACAGACCGACGCTCTACCACTGAGCCAAACCCATTTCAGCTCATAGCAAGATTTTTGTTGAAAACAGTAATGTGTGTTTCACGTTTTGGTACAAACTGTTTATCTTTTCATAACTGACACTTGGAGTAAAACTGCTCTAGAGAGACCCTTAAAAGTATTAAATGAATGTACATGTAACAAATTAATAAAAGGAAAAATAAAAAATATTTAATCCAAAAGAAGGTAAAAAAGGAGAGAAAAAGAAACAAGATAGGCGGGTTAAACAGAAAAAAATCATAAGGTGGTAAATATAAATCCAAATATATAGGTATTTGGATTAAGTGTGCAGGAAACTTAAAATATTAAGAGTGTCAGGTTAGATAAATATCAAAACCCAAATACATGCTTTTTATAAGCAATACAACTTAAATATAAGGGTATAGAAAAGTAAAAAATATAACAAAGGAAAATATACACTCTGCAAACACTATCCAAAAGAAACCGGTTGATGCTATAGTATCAGATAAATTAGACTTCAAGGCCAGAACTATGGTTTGAAATGAAAAGATATAATCTATATATATATAATATATATATAAAAAGCCAGTGTCCCTAAAGATTGGAACAAAACGACCTGTCGCCATGAGGAGGCATTAACCACTTCTCAGTCCCTCCCCTCACCCTGCCTGTGAGCAGGGGTGGGGCGGGACTGGCAACTGGCGAGCAGGCTGAACTGCTGACCGCTTGGTCCCTATCCCCGAGCCCACAGGATCCAATGGATCAGTGATGGAGAACGGGGGAATTGGGGCGGGTGGTGGGAGGACCCACTGGCTGTCCGGCTGTTGGGATCAGGTCTGTGGGAAAGCGGGCTTCAGCAATTTCACTTTCATGCACATGTGCCGGGCCGGCCAATGATGGAATGCACTGCCCGCTCAGGGCCACTCATACCGGGGCTGGTAGGTCTCGGGCGCACCAAGAAGCCTCTGCCAGCGCCTCAAGCCCCAGCAGCAGTGGCAGCAGCATCCGTGTTAGTGGCCCAAGCAGACAGTGCATTAGATCACTGCCGGCCAGGCCTAAGTACTCTAACCGTGCATGAATTTCATGCACCGGGCCACTAGTTCATATATAAAAGGCTCGATTTGGAAAGTATGATTCTAAATTTGTATCCATCCAATCAATCATATTGCTTTAAGATATATGAAGCAAAAACTTAGAGAAGTAAAAGGAAAGAAATCAACAATCATTGTGGGAGATTATTAACATGCTTTGATAATTCATAGAACAAGTAGTTAAAATAAATGAGTATATAAAAGACTTATGCAGTGAAAATGAACAAACTTGACCTAAGTGACATATATAAATACTATGCCCAATAACAAGAGAATATTCATTGCTTTCCAGTCCACATTGAATATTTACCAAAGCTGATAACATTCTGGGTCATAAAATCAAGTCTCAACAAATTTCAAAGGACAAGGATCAGAGTATATTCTCTAACCACAGTGAAATTAAGTTAGAAACTCATAACAAAATTATTTAAAAAATGCCCAAATGTTTCAAAATTTAGCAATATACTTCTAAAAAGATTAATCACAAAGGAACTTGGTTTTATTAACTAAATAATAAAAATATGACATAAACTTGTGGGATGCAGCTCAAAAAATTGTTTAGATAGAAACTTAAGCCCTAAGTGCTTATCAGAAAAGAAAGGCTGAAAAAGTCAATGATTTAAATATCTCAAGAAATAAGAAAAAGAACGGTAGTCACCCTGAAAAACAAATTTTTTTCTCAGAAAAAAATTAAGAGTGACAGAAAGCTTTTAATATTTCACCATTACATAAAATGTTTCCTTTGAATTTTTACTTTTAGTTTTGGCTTTAGGTCCTTTATCAGATTAAAGACTTTCTCTTTCATTCCTAGTTTGCTATGAGGTATTTTTATTTGTCTTAATTCATAAGTGTTTAATTTTCATGAATTCAGGAAAAGCATTTGATATGATTTTTCCCTCCTTTTTTATTTGTTAATAAGGTGAATTATGCCAATTGATTTTTTTCAAATGTTATACTACTCCTGATTGTGATGTATTATTGTTTTAAAAAAATATTACTTGATTCAATTTGTGTGATCTAATTTGTGGTGACTAGATGGTAATTTTCTTTTCTTGTAATTGTTTTTTTGGGTTTTGGTATAAAGATTACACAGGACACAGTGAAATTGGCAAGTACATACTCTTTCTCTGTCTTCGGAGAAACTTACGTAAGACACTTATTTCTTTCTTAAATATTTAGAAGAATTCCCCAGTGCAGCCATTCTAGCCTAGGACTTTCTTTATGAGAAGATTTTTATACTAATTAAAAATTTCAATTTTTTGTTTTTTCTTTTTATAACTTGTGTTTTTTCCCCCCCTGGAAATTTCATCAGATTTCATCTAAATTTCTAATTTTATTAAGTTGGTCCTCATATTATTTTATTTTCTATTCAGTATCTGTAATATTTACAGTTTGTTTAAATTTTAAAATTTTCTGTTTTTCTTATTAGCCTTAATAGAAATCTATCCCTCTTTTCTGGTCTTTTCAAAGTATCAACTTTTGGTTGTGTTGATTTTTCTCTTTTGAACATTTACTTTGTTTTATTTCTGCTCCTTATTATTTCCCTTTTTCTACTTTCTTTCTTCTTTTTATTGTCTTCGTTGATTATATTGCCGTATCTTAATTAGGGAAAGGGACTTCTCAAAATGTAAGATTATATACACAAGCTGTCTGTTTCTAATGGATAAATTTGTTAGATCAATTAGCTTAATTTTAATTCCTCAGTTCAAAACCTCAGGGAAGTACCTTGAGATAGTACAGATGATGGTAAATTACTTTTCCCCTCCAGATTACATATTTGAGGGTATGTTCTAGTATGGATGAAGGGATCTAAAGTCTGATCACCCATTAATAGGATATTATTCTATTCAGCAATATACAGATCTTAGTTCTCTATTATTTTAAGGCTTTATTTTTAGTAATGGAAAACAAAAAAGTTCTTCTTGGTCTTTCAGTACTTACAAGTGAAGGAACTGTGAATATCTGAACCGAGAGGTCTGCGATTGAAAACTCTCTTTCGTGGTCATCTGTCATATAATCACTCTGCAAACGCTCATAGTTCTATTAAGAAGGCAAAAAAAGGCAAGGAGTGCCAGCTATGAGTTACAAAGGAAAGGCAAGCACTACTCACCAGAGTAGGTGCGGTGAAGAACTGGACAGACAGAGCAGTCGCGGACACTGCTCGCTCGTGATCATCCTCCATAAAATCTCTCTGCAACTGCTGGTAATTCTAAACAACAAGGGGGAGATTCACCTCTAATCCACACTGACCAAATGGTTAAGGATAATAATGAAAATCAGTGCTAGAGGTGTCAGAGATAACACGCACTGACACATAAGAATGATAACTGAAATAATTTCTACTCAATAAAGTGTGCATAAATATTGACTCACTGGAAAATCCGTTAAAACACCAATGGCAGTTTATGAGCTGAAATGGGAGTGACAACCTGGGATATAGTGGGGCTACACCAAAGTGCTTAGCACCATCATTGATAAAACCAGACTCTATTACTTCTGGATGGATATCAGAATCACCTGATGGCTCTTTCAAAGTAAAAGTACTTGGGCCCCATTCTTGGTGACTGCTTTAGCAGATTTGTGAATAGAACTCAAACACATATATTTTGAAAAAACTTCCCAATGATTCTTACACACTTCCTTGGTTAAGAACTCCTAATTTAGATAAATAATAAAAAGAAATAGCCATTAGCTTAATCATATGCTGCTAAAAGAACAGAATTCAACAATATCAACAATCTAGAGTTCATGATTTTTAAATCACATCCATATATACACATGATTTCAACTAAGATGAGCTCTTCATTGTATAAAATTTAATAGGAATACCACCATAATTCACAATGGAATAGGTTTAAATTTTCATTTATCATTTCATATCTTACATATCATACATATTTATGATATTCACATTACCATGGGAGACAATGAATAAGAAAAGCCTCACTGAATTTTATTCTATTAATAAAAGATAAAAAGATCATTTATGAAGTTTCTTAGAATTTAAAAGCAACACACTGACATATTACTTTAGCTGCTAATTTTACAAAGGCCAGATATAATCATGGGCAATAGTTACTAAGTGTACAACATGATGATGTTAATCTTCAAGTCTGAGAAATGACTTACCTTTGCAAATCGAACAGCAAACAGTTTCTTGTATTTCAAATCCATCAGCAGACTGCTCATGAACAACTGGTGGTACACGCTCCTTGCACCTTTACAAAGGGAGCAGGTGTGAGAGAGGGCATATAAAGCAAACCGAAAATTACATTCTCCAAGTCTTACATGGACAACTGTTTTTAAATCACAAGAGCAAAACTACATGTGTTACTTACTGTAAAATATTTAGAGCCTGCTTTTTTAATAAAAAATAGGTTTTTCTAAATATTCTTTCTAACAAAATATAAAGGTTATTTAATTTGGGTCATGGATCCCAGAGTCTGTTTGTTTGTTTTTTCCCCCCAAAGAATAAGACTGCATATGCTAATCTGAAAAACCATACTTAAGAAAACTTAACATCCTAGTTACTTATATAGGTTCCCATATACCTGAAAAGTAGTTAAGAGACTCACCTTTCCATAATTTGGAATCATTGAGCATTAATCTATCCACAAGAGAAGAATTTTCACCATCTGGCCCTTCTTGTAAACCAACTTGACATAAAATTCGGCGAAGACCATCTTAAACAGGAAGAAAAGTAGTCATGAAATAATAACTTCCAATATTAAACTAAAATTTTAGTAAAAACATTCAAGTAAATCTATGGAGTTTTACCTGTTTTTATTTAAGATAAAACTAAGTCAGAAAAAGTAAACATATTAATGATTTTATTAATATTTTCATAAAAAGGAGAAAAATCCCAAATCTTGCATTATACACAAATTCTTATTCAGGAACATCAAAATATATGACTATCAGAAAAACAATGACCTCTTATGCTGTAAAGAATTTAAAGAGCAGCTCAGCTGGGGTTGCTAAGTGGTTGGAATGTCATTCTGTGCACTGAAGTGTCTCATATTTGATTCCAAGTCAAGGGCATGTACTTGGGTTGTAGGTTCCATCCCTGGCCCCAGGGCCCATGCAGGAAGCAACCAATTGATGTATCTCTCTCCAAATCCCCTCCCTCCCTCCTTTCCACTCTCTCTAAAAATCAATGGAAAAAATATCTGTGGGTGAGGATTAACAACTAAAGAATTTAAAGAGTAAAGAATAATTAAAAAAACAAAACAAAAAACCACTGAAATAATCACAGTTCTTCAAAATACTGTTAATTACATCATATTATAGCAAAATTGAATTACCATTTAAAAGAAGGCATTACTTCAATGCTGTAATATATACCAGTTCTTTTAATTAATGCCATGCAAAATGTTCTTCATTTTTAAACAAAAATTCATTGTGTCTGTGTACCTACCTACCTATGTGGATCTACTATGTGAAAGAACCTGGAAAACAAATTCTTACATCCTCTAAACTTAAAAAAAAAAAAGTTGCCCAAATCCTATTAATAAAAGCCTCTGTGGTTGTCACGCCCTCACGCCATGATATCCTCACTCTGAAACAAGTGATCACCAGGAGACTACGTGTACAACGTGAGCATGCGAGTGGGCGGGGCTGCATACACGTGGGCTTGATGCTGTGTGCTCCGCTTGGCTCCAGCCTACCTCTTTGGGGCAATCCATCGAGCAGCCCCGGATGGGTGGGTAGGGCCTACCTCTTTGGGGTGATCAATTGTGGGGCTCCCACACTCTGAGAGGACACAGGCCAGGCTGGGGGACCCCCCACCCCGAGTGCATGAATTTTGTGTGCTGGGCCTCTAATATTGATATAAGCATTAACATAACCAAAACTTTAATACTTTTTTGTTTCATACTTTATAATTAATATTACTATTTTCAGAATTCTACAAGTATGCAAATAATTAGAAAAAAATAGAATAATTTTTACTATAGCACCTACTTGGCATACAGGTACCCAATGCAAAACATCAAAACTTAAGAAATGAGGGTAAGAGCTCCAGCCACGAAGCTCAGATGACTGGAGCATCATCCCATGCACTAAAATGTTGAGGGTTCAATTCCCAGTCAGGGCACATATAAGAAGCAACTGATTGATGTTTCCCTCTCAATTCGATGTTCCTCTTTCTCTCTCTCTTCTAAAATCAATAAACATAGCCCCGTCGGCATGGCTCAGTGGTTAAGCATTGATCTATGAACCAGGAGGTCATGGTTCAATTCCAGTCAGGGTACATGCACAAGTTGTGGGCACAATACCCAGTGAGAACTTGTAGAAGGCAGCCAATCAATGATTCTCTCTCATCATTGATGTTTCTTTCTTTCCTTCCTCTCTGAAATCAATAAAAGTATAAAAAATTAAATAATGAAATCAATAAGCATATCCTCAGGTGAGGATTAAAAAAAAATGAGGGTAAGAAAAAGAATTGGAAAGATATTTATAAGTCAAGCAAACATGTTCTCTTAAATATCCATACCTTGTTTTTTTACTTGTCAGTTCAATGTGGCAATGGTCTTTCAAACAGCATTTCAATACATGTTTCAAAAATTTTCTTTATAATAATACATATCAGAATGTCACTTATCCAAACCTCCTCTCTTGCCTGAAGAACAGTATATAGATATCTCCCATCTATTCCTGTTTTACTCTTTAATGTTATACACCAAACTCGTATTTTTGGCATTGGACTGAGGGCTCTAATTCTGTTACCATTACTTAAAAAGATTATCTAATTTGTATATTGTGGAAAAACAAGAAACTAAATTAGTAACTTCAAATTTGCAAATTTGTACAGTTGCAAATTACTGGAAACCAAAAGTTGCAGGAGTTAAAACAGAGATATCAAGATTGGTGTATTATCCTTTAAACTGCTAAATCTTTAGGTTTTATTTACAGTAGCATTTTCTAGCTTGCTAAGTGAGAGTTCCACAGGTACTCCTCTAAAAAAAAAAGGTTCTTTATCAAATTGTAAGACTTTTATTTCATTAGCATATTAAAGTCATTTATAATTGTTAAAACACATGTATCCTGTGTTAATTTGAACACAAAATCATTTGCATGCATATAAAAAGAATCCCATGGATCAAAATTTGGGAAACAAAGGTTTTTATGTGCATATAGATATTCCAAGATAGTATTTTAAAATGTGAAATTAAAGCAAAAAAATTCTTTCACTTGATATTTTTTTCAAAACAGTTTTGCAAGGGCATATGAGTTCATTTTTCAGTCCAGTAGCACCAGTTTTTATGAACCTACCTGAATATCCAATAATGCTTCCCAGCCAAGACAAAAGTTTCAAACCAAAATTCTGATGCGCAACAATAGACGAATGCATAACTTGAACTTTAAGTGGCTTTGTCTGTCTACTGGTATTTCTCTTAAAAAGAAATGGAAAGATGAAAAAACAAACTTAAAAAGCTATTTTATAAGAAAAAAGTTAATATTTTTATTTCATATAACTACAAACTGTTATTTTATTTTGTTTATATTAACCATCCTAATGGGTATGAAATCGTATCTCATTGTGGTTTTTATTTGCATTTCACTAAGGATTAGTAATGTTGAACATGTTTTCATGTGCTCATTAGCAATCTGTACATCTTTTTTGTGGACATGTCTCTTTAGTCCATCATAAATTTTATTTAACATGTCCCCCTTCACTTCTGTTTAAACCATTTCTAGCCTCCCATTTAATCCCATCTCTTTAACCCACATCAATATAGTAGATCTTTGCAAAGTTTCTCCATTTATATAAATTACATATGTATACATTAAAAAAGATTTTTGATTTATAAAACTGGGATACTGTATATACTCTTGTGCATCTTTGTGCTAACTGATATTTTTGGTTAATGATTCAATACTCTGTGGTATGGATTTATTCGAGCATCCTTTAGAGAAGGGCAATCATATTCCATGTGATTTTCAGTCTTCCGTGACTACAAAAAATAGCAGTACTAAAAAACTTCGTACACACACTTACTGGTACTTATAGTCTATGGGATAAATTGCTAGAAGTAAAATTTTAATAGATGTTACACTGTTTTCCAAAAAAGGTGTTGCAATTTTTTTTTTTATACAAGAAATCTCTGCATCTCTGCCAGCAAGATATTTTATCACTGTAATTTCTCCATTCTGTTGGGTACGAAATCTCACTGTCATTTCACTGTGGCATTTGGGTCTCGTTTTATATATTATATATAGACCACCTACATTTTCTCTGCTGTGATTACTTTTTTGTATCTTATTACCATTTTTATAACTTATTTGTTCCCTACTTGATAATCTATGAGTGCTGTTTATCATAAATATTAAATCTCTACCCTACTTTAGAAATAATTTTTCTAAATCTACTATTTATCTACTGATTTTATTTATGGAATATTTTGCAATGCAATTTTTTTAAAATGTATTTTTATTGATTTTAGAGAGGAAGGGAGAGGGAGAGAGAGAGATGAAAACATCAATGATAAGATAGAACCATTGATAGGCTGCCTCCTGCACACCCCTACTGGGGATCGAGCCTGCAACGCGGGCATGTGCTCTTGATGGAATCAAACCCAGGATCCTTCATCCACAGGCCAATGCTCTATCCACTGAGCCAACCAGGGTTGCAATGCAATGTTTTTATGTAGTAAAAATAAAATGTTTCTCTTCTAACTCCATTGGGTTCTAGTCTTAAGCTAAGAAGATCTCTTTTGCCCTAGCTAGTTTGGCTCATTGAATGAAGGATTGGTTTGCAGACTGAATTGTCCCCGGCTGGATTCTGGTCGAGGGCACATGGCCGGGTTGTGGGCTCGATCCACAGCAGGGGACTGGAGGAGGCAGCCGAACAATGATTCTCTCTCATCATTGATGTTTCTATCTCTCTCTCTCCCTCTCCCTTCCTCTCTGAAATCAGTAAAAATAAAATTAAAAAAAAAAAAAGCTCTCCTCCCCTAAAATGTACGTAGGGTTTTTTAGATTTTCCTCATATCAGTATCTATTTCTAGACTTTCTATTTTATATTATGAATGTATTTATGCAAACACCAGAGATTACAAGCAATAATATTAATATATGTGTGTGTGTGTGTGTGTATATATACACATATATATACTTAGAAGATGAAGTATAAAGGTATGCATAAGAAAATGAATTACAGAAATAATTATCTCCAGGGAAAAAGTAAGGGAATGGGATTAAGGGATAAGACAGGGGCCACTATACTATTTTATTTAAAATAAGTACAAAAATTGTATATAATATGGACACACAGGTGTTCATCATATGATCTCTATTTTATCTGTATATTAAAAACATTTAACAATATATAAAATTATTTTTAAAAAGCTTTACATAAAATGCAGTTACATGGAATAGTTAAAAATAATAAATGCTAACTTTTAAAATAAATTTAAATGTGGGGATGCTTTCTTTTAGAGAAATAATACATATAATAAATGCTATTAAGATATGCAGCATACCTTGCTATAAGGTACCAAGAAACAACTTCCCTTGAATTCTAATCTTGGTGCTAAAGGCCAGTTTAATTCTTAAAAAGTAACGTGAAACCCTATCAAAAATAAAACAAGACAAAAAGCAAAAAACTTTCTAGAGATGTCGATGTCTCTGATGAAATAAGGCAGAAAATATATATCATCTAAACATTCATTTTTCTATATTAATCTTACATAACTTTAAAAAATTAAATAAAGCAACAATGCAATGCTCAAGAAACTTATCCTCAAATATAATTTTTGGCTGATGTTGGCTTTACATTAATAAAGGCAGAAAAATGTTTCCATAAATGCCAAAATATGAAACTAGTCTTAAACTAATAAAAAGATAATAGTGTAGACACATCTTATAATTACTTACCACAATTACTGATTTTGCCTGCTCACAATACGGAAAATCTCCATATCGAACAGACCTACGTCCCTATAAACAAAGATATTTACAATTAACTTGTGAAAATATTATATTCAGTATTAATAACTTTTGAGCCAATAAACAAATAAACATATTTGAGCATACAACAACTCTGGTCAAATTTTAATATTTATTTCATTCTATTCATTAATAAAAAGTAAACAAAAATACTTTTCTTCAAAGCTATCCCAACATTTTTTTTTTATTGTTTAAAGTATTACATGTCTCCATTTTTTTCCTGATTGATAGCCCCCACTCCTACCCCCAAGGGCAAGCCCCCACACCTCAGTCTGTGTCCATTGGTTATGCTAATATGCATGCATACAAGTTCTTTGGTTGATCTCTAACCCCCCATCCCAACATTTTCAAGGCATTAATAAATATATTTTCTTGAATAAAACAACATTTATTCTTTCAGGCTGCTATAATTTCTTTCTTTTTTAAACCAGCTTTAAAAAAAGTTTATTTAGGATCATGGAGGCAAATATTGTTAGTGTTTCTCTCTGGAGATATAGAATAGTGCTTGGGTTTCTATAATTTTTATTTTCATAACTAAAGATTTTAAATCACTGGGTAGAATAAGGATAACTATATCTACGTATATTTTCTCCTAAACTTCTTATCTGACAATAATTTAGTTATATCCAATATATATTTGGGCCAATATTTAAATGAAATTTAAAAATCAGCTTACACTTATATACCTAATTCTATATAACTTACCTGTGTAAAAGTTCTATTTTATTATGTGACATCAATTTAATAAAATTACTTACATCTCGATCTACTGTAGTTGCAAAGCCAATGGCTTCTTTTTGTGTACAGTTAACAGCTTTCTGAAGAGTATAAATAACTTGTTCGTAGGTATGAACCTCATCATTAAACAGCATGCAATAGTAGGTGTCAGGCTTCTCTCTATGGGATCAAATATTAATGACATATTATCTATTTGCATATTTCTTGCTCTAGGCTAACTTGTTGTAGGGAATGTACTAACTATACCAAAGTCATCCATGGTCCCCATGCTCTCTGACACTACTATCTGGTGAGGAAGATAGAGAATGGACAAATAATTCTATGTGAACTGCTTTTATCAAAGGTAGGATGCTAGAACAGGGTAAAACAGGTCTGGGAGCTCAAAGAGGAACCGTCAGAGAAGTAATCTGACACCCGAAGTCACAAATGGCTATTAGTGGCTCTTAAAAGGGAACAATTCTCCTCTACCCCTCACAGTCGACCATGTGACAATGTTTGGACAATTTTGGTTATCTTGATTAGGAAGTGGCATCTAGTTGGTAGGGCAGAGATGCTACTAATTATTCTACAATCCACTGGACAGTCCCCATGATAAAGAGTTAATCTGACTCCAAATGCTAGCAGTGTTATGACTGAGAAAACCTGGGCTAGAGGAAGATCTAAGCAAAGGCCACAGAGTGGTGAAGGTAAATATTAGGATCTGGAGCACAGAGAAGGAGGAGATGATTAGTCTGGAAAGAGGCAGAATTTTAAAAAACTTTTTAATTAATTTTGATTATGCCATCCTAAGGGCAATCAAGAATTTGAATTGGAAATATGGTTAGTTTGCCTTACAGTGTGGAAAATGAACCGTGAGGGCAAGAGTGGATATGGCAATCCAGTTAAAAAGGCCATACTGTCCAAAAATGAAATTAATGTAATTTAGGCTATGTACCCTGTTTCCCAGAAAATAAGACAGTGTCTTATATTAATTTTTTTCCCCCAAAGTTGTGCTAGGTCTTATTTTCAGGGGATGTCTTATCTTTCCATGCGATGAGTCTTATTTTCGGAGGAGGTCTTATTTTCGGGGAAACACGGTAATAGTAATGGTGATGAACAGTAGAAAATTTTGATAGAAGGATTTACTAAGAAGTGAAAACAGTACAAAGAAGCAAGTTTCTTTTTTCTTCTATGCTGGTATCCTGAACCTACAAATGTACAAAAAACTAAAAAATAAAATTCTTCTATTATCTTCGATCAGTGAATGGTTCCCAACTTGAAGTACATGAAGATAAAGTCATGAGGTACTAATTCATTTTCAATATTTTATTAAAACACTTCACCCGCAACTAATTATCTGAATTGCTGTTGAGAAAATAAAAAAGAACTAATACCAATGTCTTTCAGACTCTCATTCCAACTTGTACTCAACTTTAACTATGAAAACAATTCTGACAGCCTGGTCAGAGTTAAAAGTAAAAGAGAAGACTGCCTAAGGCAAGCACACTCACAAGAAAAAGTAAGTGTTTAGCCTTAATAGAGCTATGGCAGAATACAGTTTCCAGTCACAAGTTTGTGACCTCCTCAATAATCTAAGTACAAATGGTAAATATGTTAGATGTACACTAAAAGAAGCTCAAACTGTAGAATATGTTTTTATAAAATTTTAGCATCAAAATGACTTTGAGCATTTAGTCAAAGCAGAAAACTCACATCAAAGAGCTCATTCCCTAATCTTAGCTGATAGACAAAATAAAAGGAATTGTAGAATTAACTTACCTGTTTTATCATACAAAGAAGAGAAAATTGTTTATGCCTGAGCTTTGACGTAGCTTAAATATGGCTAAAAAACCAACTAAGACAACCAACTAACAGGGAGAAACTGCTACCAATTAAGTGGATCACATATATTTTAAAAGTATAAAATCAAGATTACTGTTCTGCTGAAAATTAATTATTGCGAAAGAAAAGATTATGTTCTATCCTAGCTATATTAAAATTAACACGAGAAATCAGGGGAAAAAAAAGGATAAAACTGAGTGGGAAGAAATACATACAAATACAAAAAGTAAATGGTTGTACTTACACCATCTCTAAATCTGCTGGTAATTCACTTTCTTTTTCCCAGGTTAATATCTCTACTGCATAATGAAACATGATAGCAAAAATGTTGTAAGTTCTTGTTATCACATCTTCTGGTAAATGAATGAGTGGATCCTGAAAAAAGAGCAGAAAAATAAAATACAACTTTGTTAAATGTACATTAATTTTCCTCTTTCCCATTCTGCCTCCATCTCTCAATATATTACTGTAAAAAGTTGACTGATTTTTCAGCTTAAGCTTCTCTTCTAATTTCATCCTGTATATTACATCCTACCAAATCAAGCTTCCTAAAATGTTTTGTTAAATTATAATCCCAATTCTGAAACCAACTGAACCAAAATATTCAATGGCACTCCAATGTCTAATGAATAAATCTAAAAACTTAAGAATGATATTCCAGGATCTATAAACCTAACATCAAACCATCTTCATAGCTTCCTAATCCTTAAATTTTCAGAATAAACAAAGGAATGTTATCCAAGGACAGACAACCAATTTAGTTTTACAAAATAAAGAAGAACCTGATTTTGAGGATTACGAAGAGGAGAAGTCAACAAGGTCACAAAACTGCTCTTTGATATTATAAGAATCACTCACAAGTTGTATGCATGTACTAACAGGAAGCTTCCTTCTTTATATTTAATAGTAAAATTACTAAATTTCTAGGTTAATATAAAAAATATTACTTAAACATATATGTACTAAGTTTATCATGGTGTCTTTCAGTGATGGTTGGCAAATGTTTTTAATCTTAATGTTTTATCTTAAATCTAAGCACATTATTTAGCTTAATGGTTAAATAATGTTATATTCATGTCTCAAGTAAAAGATTAGTATGTTCCAACATCACAGAATGAGAATCAGCACATTCTTGCAAATATGCATAAGGCTTCACAAAGATAAGCTTAGTGGAACTGGTAGAACCCAAATGGAGATGGGAGATAAAAAGAGTAGCGGGACAAGGACAAAAAGGACAAAGATTTCTAGGACTTGAAGAATGTAAGAAAAAGTAAAAAAAGTAAGGAAAGTCCTGGCCAACATGCTGTGGGTTGGAGTGTTGTCAGTACACCAAAATGCCCAGTGCACAAATGTCATGCACTGGGTCTCTAGTTTAAAAATAAATGTTGGCTCACACATGCGTGATACATAGTTGTTCTGATTCCAAGAATTGATTTGTCCCCATCTGACACTGGCCTTCTATTTAAATTAATTCAAAGACAGTTTCCTGTGATGCCAGCATTTGCAATGACTATTAATAAATCACAAGTACAAACTCTAGACAGAGTAGGAATATTCCTACCTGAACCCATTTTCACACATGGTCAGTTATATGTTGCTTTCTCTTGAGTTGGAGAGTGTGTAAAATCAAAGTTTTAAATACTTCATCACAAGGAAAATTAGTAAAGCAGTTAAAGTGTTTTTACTCTTACTGTGGTATACAGCGAGATATTAAAATAAATTTAATCAGTTGATCAGTCATTGTTTTATCAATGTTGTTTTTATATGTCTTTGTTGTTATATCATGTTATTTATTAATCAATTTATATATTATTTTCATATACAATTTACTAATTTTCTTTCGACTCTGACACTTCTATTATAGAGAAATGGCGAATGGTGATATTAAAATATTTCTTCTAATTAATTTCCTTTCAATGTGCATGAATCTGTGTACCAGGCCACTAGTCTTTTTATCTTACCTTATAATCTTATCCCTGAAGACCTCATTTCTCTTAACTGAATTCTTAAATAGGAATTAAATGGTAGAGTCCAGAGGTTTTATTCTCTGGCAAGTTTCTGTGGAGTATTATATATTCGCTAGGAAGGGCCATGTAGCATCAGACAGGCAAGTGATCTTGCTGTTCTATTCTTAAGATTCAAGAAATTACCCTAAGTCTGCACTTTTTGAGAGCTACCCTACCCTCATACTTTAGTAGGGTAGCTCTCAAAAAGTGCAAACTTAGGGTAATTTCTTGAATCTTAAGAATAGAACTTTATCTTCATACTTTAGTAGGGTAGCTATCAAAAAGTGCAGACTTAGAGTAACTTCAGGCAGGTTCATAATTTTTCTTAGAAAACTATTTAAAGCCTACTTTAAGACAGATAAAAACGTAACAGAAGTCTTAAAATTTTTTAAAAATAATATATTGAGATGAAATTCATAGAACATAAAATTAATCATTTTAAAGTGAACAATTCAGTGGTGCTTTGTTTAGACATAATTTATGCCACTAAAACCTCTATTTAGTTCCAAAACTTTTAAAATATATATATTTTATCAACTTTTTACAGAGAGGACGGGAAAGGAATAGAGTTAGAAAAATCAATGAGAGAGAAACATCGATCAGCTGCCTCCTGCACACCCCCCACTGGGGATGTGCCCGCAACCAAGATACATGACCTTGACAAGGACTGAACCTAGGACCCTTCAGTCTGCAAGCCTGAGGCAAACCAGTTAGGGCCAAAACTTTTTTTCTTTAAATCCTCACCTGAGGATATTTTACTATTGATTTTTGGAGAGAGTGGAAAAAGAGAGGAAAAGACCTAGAAAAACACATCGATTGGTTGCCTCCTGCAGGCATCCTGACCAGGACCCAGGAGAAGTTTGCAACTGACATACAAGCCCTTGATGGGAATTAAACCCCACACCTCTCAGTCCACAGGCTGATGCTCTATCCACTGAGCCACTAGGGCTAGTTCCAAAACATTTTTATTCTTCAAAATAAAACCCTATACCCATTAAGAGTTTTTCCTGGCAACCATCAATCTGTCTCTTCTATATTACCTATTCTGGATATTTCATATAAATAGAACCATACAATATGTGACTTAATGTTACGAAGGTTCACTCATGTTTTAGGATGTACTACTCATTTTATGGCTGAGTAATATAACATTGTATGTATACACCACAATTTATTTATCCATTTAATGCTAGATATTTCAATTATTTCCACCTTTTGGCAATGATGAATAATGCTGCTACAAACATGCATGTTTATGTACTTATTTGAATACTTGTTTTTGATTTTTTTTTATGTATACCTAGGAGTAAAATTAGTTTCATATGGCAATTCTGTAGTTTAAAATTTTCAGGACAGGGTCATGTGAAAATTCTATGCTTAACATTTTTTTTTTTTTTTTTTTTTTAAGAAAAGCCAAACTGTTTTCCACAGCATTGAAATAATTTTGCATCCCCACTAGCAATGTACAATGAATTACAATTTTTCTACATCCTCACTGACACTTTTCCTTTTTAAAATTTTTTATTATAGTCATCCTAGGATAACTCATTGTGCTTTTGATATTTCCTTAATTAATTATGCTGAACATGTTTTCATGTGTCTACTGATCATTTGCATTGTATCTTCTTCCAACAAATGTCTATTCAAGTTCTTTGACCATTAAAATTTGAGAAAGAAACATCAATAATGAGAGAATCGTTGATCAGCTGCCTCCTGCTTGCCCCCACACAGAGCCCCAACCTAGTCATGTGGCCTGATTGGGAATTGAACCATGACCACCTGACTCACAGGCTGGTGCTTAAATACTGACCCTCTCCAGCTGGGCATCATTTAACCATTTTTAATTGGGTTGTCTTTTTATTGTTGTATGATACATATTTTACTAGACCCTTATCAGATATATGACTTGCAATTATTTTCTCCCATAGTCCTAATGTTTTATACTAGTTTTCAGTTCTTGTTAAAGCAAAGCTCTTTTTCCCCCCAAATATATATTTGTCTTATTTGTAATTTTACATACAGAACTCCAGTCTTATATCTATACTAGTAAAAGAGTAATGTGCTAATTAGAGCAGATGTCTTCATCTGGACGTCCATCCGAACAAAGCCACAGTGGCTGTGAGGGCCTAGGGCCAGCGGTGGCATGGGAGAGGAGGAAGCACCTTGGTGGGAGGGGGAGTGGAGGCAGGGCTGTTGCCAGCGCGGGAGGGGGAGCCTCTGCCTCAGCTCCTGGTCCCATCACACTGGGGGGGAGGGCCTAAGCAGTCAATAGGACATCCCCCTGAGGGATCCCAGATTTGAGAGGAGGCAGGCTGGGCTGGGATGCATTTTCATGCACCGGGCCTCTAGTATGAGATAAAAATGAAGCTGCTCTAAAAGGAGTGAAGAAATCCCAAACCCTGACCACATGGTGTCTCTCTGTAGCAAATTCTAGAACACTTGGACAAAGCACATAAAACACAAAATACACGTTTTCTATAGCACTGAATAATTATGCACAATTTTATCTGTCCAAAACATAGTGGAACACAGTCTGAAATACACTGTCCCTACACCATAATGTCTTGGTAGTTCTATGAAAATATTTGAGACCTATAAGGTATGAGCAACAGGAAGATTATTTAAGCCTCAAATCTGTATCAGACCTACCAGTAACATGGAAGTACTTTGAACGTATTCATCTCTCTGCCATTTAAAAATAAAATCTGGCCGAAACCGGTTTGGCTCAATGGATAGAGCATCGGCTTGGGGACTGAAGGGTCCCGGGTTCGATTCCGGTCAAGGGCATGTACCTTGGATGCGGGCATATCCCCAGTAGGGGGTGTGCAGGAGGCAGCTGATAGATGACTCTCTCTCATTGATATTTCTAACTCTCTATCCCTCTCTCTTCCTCTCTGTACAAAATCAATAAAATATATTTTAAAAAATAAATAAATAAAAATAAAATCTGCATAAGGATCTTTTTTTTTTTTTAATTCTTATCTTTTCTCACACTTCCTAAATAGCCTTCTTTAAAAAAAAAAAAAAAAAGGAAGCTCAGAAGATACAAAAGTGGACTGAGGATATTTTTTGATTGATTTTTAGAAAGAGTGGAAGGGAGGGAAGAATGAGGCGGGGGAGAGAGGAATTCAGAGAGAGAGAAAAAATAACACACCAAACCACTGATGTGAAAGACACACTGATTGGCTGCCTCTTGCATGCACCCTACCTGCAACCCAGGTATGTGCCCTTATTGGTAATCAGACCCATGACCCCTCAGTGCTCAGGCTGCCACTCTAATGATTGAACACCAGCCAGGGCTGAAATAAGGATCTTGACTCAAACATCAAGTTGTCACAAACAGCAGCAGAGAGTCAAGTATTTATTGACCAGTAGTTATAAATATAACCTTAATAAATATCAGTTAGGGAAAAATAATACAGGACCAACACTTTATTACAGAAGATATGTACAGATGGAGAGAGTATAATTTGTACTGAGCTATCATCTCTACACTTGGTTGCATAACACATCCAGTGTCACTGATTTACCAGATGACTATTAGAAATGGCTGCCAGGTATGGCTATAGAAAAGACAGGTATCTGGCCTACAAAGTCTTAGTTACAACACAAATATACAAAAACCAACTAAGTTAAGTGGTCTACACATAGAGGAAAGTAATCCCTTCAATAATAAATGAGAACTTAAAAAAAGTTGAATTAAACTAAATTTCCAGAATTTCAAGTGTGTTCTATTAAAAATGGTATGGCATCATTAAATGCAAAAAACTTTTAAAGTATACCTGGTCACTATTAATAGTGACAGGACTATTTGCTTATTCATTGCTCATATTATTACCTTATTCCTATGTCTCAAAGTATTTTTTTTAATATATTTTATTGATATTTTACAGAGAGGAGGAAGGGAGAGAGATAGAGAGCTAGAAACGTCGATGAGAAAGAAACATTGACCAGCTGCCTCTTGCACACCCATTACCAGGGATGTGCCCGCAACCAATGTACATGTCCTTGACCGGAATCGAACCTGGGACCTTTCAGTCCGCAGACTGACGCTCCACCACTGAGCCAAACCGGTTTCGGCCATGTCTCAAAGTATTTTAAACTCATGGTTAAAATATTTCCTTAAAAAAACAACACCCAAACTTAGAAAATTGTTTTTACCTCTTCTTCCTCAATTTCAGAGGTGTTAAGTTTGTGTTTTTCACAGTAAGGACCTTCTTTCCACGCTTCAGTATCACCACAGTCACAGAAGCCTCCACCTCCTGATGTTGTCATCTTAAAAAAAAATCATAAAGCATGTTGTCATTAAGTGTTTGCTGAGGGCTCTCAGATGAAAAGAAAAGCTAAGTACTAAGAAAATAACATTGCTAGAGTGTTTAAATTTCTTTAAAGGGATGAAATTTTAAAAATGGCAAACCTCTCAATGTTGCTTATTTTAAATAAGCCTATAAGCTAATATAAGTGATTTCAAAATAAAATAAACTACTTTGTAGTGAACTAGTACACTACAGATATTTTTTTTTAAATATATTTTATTGATTTTTCACAGAGAGGAAGGGAGAGGGATAGAGAGCTAGAAACATCGATGAGAAAGAATCATCGACCAGCTGCCTTCTGCACACCTCCTACCTGAGATGTGCCCGCAACCAATGTACATGCTCTTGACCGGAATCGAACCTGGGACCTTTCAGTCTGCAGACCGACGCTCTATCCACTGAGCCAAACCGGTTTCGGCCACTACAGATATTTTAAAGAGATAAGATACGCCCACATACATAAGCTCCTTAATTAGGGAACTCATAAGGGTTTGGGGGCTGGTTTTTGACTAAATTGGTATAATGCTGGCCTCTATGCTAGCAGGTTACAATGTAATACAGTAGAGTCAAGGGTTATAAGAACTAGAATAGTCCAAGAAGAGTGTGCATTTGCATTAGAGGAAGTAAGATAGTTTATTTTTCTTTTCTTACACTCCCTAAATAGCCTTCTTTGAGGAAGCTCAGGAAATACAAAAAAATTTTTGACTGGTCAAAAATACTTTTGCACCACTTTTAGGGTTCAAGAATTATTTATACTTTTTTTTGGGGGGGGGGGAGGTAAAGGCAGTTTATTCAATAAATGGTGATGGGAAAATTGGACACATACATGCACAAAAATGAAACTAGACCACCTTCTTATACCTTACACAAAAATAAAGTCAAAGTGGATAAAGGACTTAAATGTAAGTGGTATCAGAGTAGTGGCATCCTGAGAGGTCTCTCCCTTGAGAGAATTTGACAGCCATATCACAACAAAAGATTTCCTGTTCAATGCACAAATATACCTGAGAGATCAGTGCACTGAAACATGTAAAGGTGGGTAGGTGGAACAAGGGAGGAGGGCAAAAAGGGGGTGGGGTTGACACAAACCAGGGAGACAGCCCAGAAGCTGGGAGCTCATGATGGAGTTCAGCCTAGAGAGGAGAGGAATCCTGCTGCTGCTGACATCCCCTCTGCCAGGAAAACAGGGGAACTGGGTGGACACTCCTGCAGACATGAGCAGGACTAGTTATGGCTGAACTGAAAGACTATTTGCAAAAAATTCCTAGGCAGTATGTCTGGGATAGCTATAGTAGCCTCTGGTCAGGGAAATTAGGAGCCATTCTGGAAGTTGGGAAGTGTAAAAGGTGCCAGCCAGAAGGTTTCATCCTGAGGCCTCTTCTCTTGCCTTGTAGATGGCCACCATCTTACTGTGTGCTCCGATGACCTGTCTTTGCATTTCCACATAAGGAATGGAGAGGAGCAAAAGAAGCTATTTTTTCTTTTAAGATATGGAAATGATTCAAGAAACCTGAAGACAGAATTGATTAATTATTGGTAGACTAGAAATTTTGCTCTTTAAAAAATTCTGAGAGTTTACAAATGTTTAAATGCAAATTTTAGATCAGCCTTAATACATTTTGCCCAAACAATCTGTGTGTTACATATCACAAATAATTAATGTAAACCCACAAATGACAATTCTGCTTTGAACTCTCAGGGACTGCAAAGATATTTGTCAAGAAAGATGGGCAGGCAAGCAAGCATTTGAAAAATGATAACTCCTCCCTACAGTTTTCACGCACCTTCTCTTACAGAAGATAGGCAAACAGCTTAAAGGAAACTGGGATTCTTTTATTAATTTAGTAAAATAAAGAGAATGCAAACATACAAGGAGTTCATTATTACCAGTATTTGGGTTCTATGAATAAAAACAAATAGGAGGAAAAGTCTTGAACCAACAGGGCTCCTGAAATAAGACTGTGATATTCTCTACCATTTTATTTGAGATTAGGGTGAAAAAGCTCCAGCTACTAACAGTTCCCTAATTTATAAATGTTCATTGATCTGCTTTGAACTCTCAGTAGAGAAACCAAGATAGGCTTAATAATAATCTGCCTTTGTCATGTCCTTGACTTAAAAGCAAACAAACCTGATTTTTTAAAAAGTACTGATTGCATTATAGCAGAGAAAAAAATAAAATTAGTGGGTCTTATGTTTTAGAGTTGAGCCCTCTTCTACACTGTAGTAGCTGCCTCTTTAATATTAAATGACAAATCTTCTGAGGAAGATGATTAATAAGTAGAACATTTTTTAAATGTACACTGAGTGGCTAGATTATGATGATCAATGAATGCATAATTATCTGGCCACTCGGTGTGTGTGTGTGTGTATGTGTGTGTGTGTGTGTTAGAGGCCCGGTGCATGAATTCGTGCATGGGTGAGGTCCGGCCAGCCTGGCCAAGGGGAGGGTCATGGGCAATTGGCCAGCTGCCTGCTGGTCAAACTCCTAGTCAAGGGGGCAATTTGTATCTTAGCCTTTTATCATATAGGATATACACTGAGCGGCCAGCCTATTATGCGTTCAGAGATCATAATAATCTGGCCACTCAGTGTATAATCCTGTCACTTTTCCTTATTCCTTGTCTCACAAACCCCTTTAGGAATCTCCCTCTCATACTTTTAATTCGACTTTATCCTCTGATTTTTGATAACCCCTTTCATAAACCTAGAGTTTTGAAGATAATAAACATAGAAAAACATCAAGATAAATTAATTGAAAACCAATAAGAAGAAGTCGATATCTGTGTTGTCTTTTTTAAACTACATGTTTCAAAAAGTCTAGATTCATATCTACATTGCCATTGTATGTTTAATGGTGTTTAAATATATTTCTTAAACCACACTCTCCTATTTTAGTGTTAAACCTTAGAATTTTAAAAAAGCAGAAAATGTATGCCAAAACTGGTTTGGCTCAGTAGTAGAGCATCGGTCTGCAAACTGAAGGGTCCCAGGTTCGATTCCGGTCAGAGATATGTATTGTTGGTTGTGGGCACATCCCCAGTAGGAGGCAGCTGGTCGGTGTTTCTCTCTCATTGACGTTTATGGCTATCTCTCCCTTCCTCTCTGTAAAAAATCAATAAAATATATTTTTTTTAAGCAGAAAATGAATCCTATATAATAAAAGAGAAATATGCAAATTGACCATCTCTCAAACACACAAGATACCATCCCCATGTGGTCAAAGATGGCTGCCCCCATTTGAACCCAAGATGGCCACCACAAGATGGCAGGCAAGGAGGGCAGTTAGGGGTGACTGGGCTGGCAGAAGAGGACAGTTGAAGGGATGGGGGGACCAGGCCTGCAGGGAAAGGCAGTTAGGGGTGACCAGGCTGGCAGGGGAGTAGCTAGGGGGTGATCAGGCTGGCAGGCAGAAGTGGTTAGGAACAATCAGGCAGGCAGGCAGGTGAGCAGTTGGGAGTCAGCAGTCCTGGATTGTGAGAGGGATGTCCAACTGCCCGTTTAGGCCCAATAGAAGAGGATGGAGGCTGGGCTGAGAGACATCCCCCACCCCTGTGCACGAATCTCGTGTAGTATAAAATTCAATACTAGGTATGATTATTATCTAGACATTACTAACCCTGTATCGATGGTCTCTGTGAATACTTCCCAAAAAGCATTCCATGCATAAAACACAAGTTGGATCAACTGCACAGTCTCTGTAAAGTTAGAGAAAAAATAAAAATCAGTGTCATAAAATCACTGCATATTTCACAACATAATACTTCATATTGGATTCCATTCTAGAAGAGCAATAATAGTGAACTGTCTTAATGTTAAAAGAAAGGAAATACTATTCCCAAAGATCTCTCAGATCTTTGATAATAAAGTCAGCTTAAGAATCTGTTTCTCAAATTAGATATGTATTAGTGAGTCTTTGAAGGCACATATTACTAGAATGGTAATTTTCCCCAAAGATTCGGGGAACTCACATTTTATATTAAAACACACAGATGTTATGGAATAGATTTTAAACTTTATCTTGCAATTTTAAGTAACTTCCTTCAAACAGGTGTTTCAAATCAATGGTCTTCAAAGTGGTATGTGTACATCCCCAGAAAGATAAACTATTACAACTTGTATTTCTATTTAAATTTTAACTAATTTAAAAGGGAAATTAAACAGTTTAAATGATTAATGTACAGCCTGACATGTGTCGCCTCACTTGGTCATTATGTCTGGTGGTCAGGCAACACATATGATTTCTAAGATATCATGAGAGAAGAATTTCACAAGGCTGCCCTAGCCAGTTTAGCTCAGTGGATAGAGCATCAGCCTGCAGACTGAAGGGTCTCAGGTTTGATTCATCAAGGGCAGGTACCTTGGTTACAGGCTCCTCCCAGCCCAGGCCTTGGTCAGGCCTCAGACAGGAGGCGACCAATCGATGAACTTCTCTCACATTGATGTTTCTCTCTCTTTCCCTCTCTCTTCCATTCTCTCTAAAAGATCAACGGGAAAAAAAAATAAAATCCTCAGATGTGAGGATTAACAGCAACAACAAAAGAATTCCACAAGATGGATGGGCTGACAGTGCTGTCCTCAGTCATTTCATTTGCTTTCATCATACTGCCAGTTTGATATATCTCCAGATCACATTTTATATATATGCGCCTAATATGCAAACTGTCCCCTCAGGAGTTTGACAGCTTGCCAGCAGGCCGCACAGAATGAAGGAAGGCCCTGGATGGTAGCTGGTAGCTGGGGAAGGGAGGCCCCAGCTGGCAGCTAGAAGGAAGGCCCTGATCGGCTCTGATTACCAGCCAGGTCTAGGGACCTACCCATGCACAAATTTTATGCACTGGGCCTCTAATCTTAAATAAGAGAATCTCTCTAATGCCATGAAATGAGATGGGGAATGATGAAAAATCTTTAAACTTCCTTTATCCTTGGTTCTTATATCCTCATAAGCAAACCACTCCAATGTGCTTATTGTATGCCTTTTTATTCATACTAGCTGCCCGGTGCACAAAATTCCTGCATGGGGGGGGGGGGAGAGTATCTCCCAGCCCAGCCTGGGCCTCTCGTAGTCTGGGGCCCCTCAGCGAACATTCCACTCACAGTCAGGGACTCCTCATTCCTTACCGCCCGCCCATCTGCTCACTGCTCCTTAGTGCTGCTGTGGAGGAGGGAAAGGCTCCGCCACCACCTTCGCCAGCTGTGAGGCTGGCTTCCGGCAGAGCAATGCTCACTCTGTAGCACTGCACTGACCACCAGGGGCAGCTCCTGTATTGAGCATCTGCCCCCTAGCGGTCAGTGCGCATCATACTGACCAGTTGTTCTGGTCATTGCTATAATGGTCGCTTAGGCTATTATATAGATGTTCTTGCGAAATGTTTTTGAATGCATATATTTTTAATATATGTAAATCTTCCTGTTATGTATCACATTCTTTGTTTTTTCACTTCTGTAACATGATCCATTTATTTTGTATGACTACATCTGATTTTCTGCTAGACAATATGCCATGGCCTGTGTCCAAAACATTTTATCTTTCCACTATTTCTGGGCCCAACATCTGGATTACCTCCAATGACTTTCTATTATAAAAGATGCTATAAGGACATCCCTGTAAATGTTCTCTTATAGATGTGTCTGAGACTTTCTTTGGTATATAAACTCAAGAACAGAATTGCTAAGTCAAAAAGTTCTTACCCTGAGTGCCATGCTATTGTTCAGAGTGCCTACATACACCCCCACCAGTGTGTGAGGGTTCTAATTGCCCTGAATTTTCATTAGTACTTGGTTTTTATCTGGTTTTCTAATGTGTGTCAGACTAACATATATGAAATTATATCTTAATGGTTAAATTTGCAATTCCCTGACTGCCAATATGCTTGAGCAAGTCTTCATATGCTTACTGCATTGGGCACTTCCTTCTCTAAAAACAGCCTGTTTTTATCCTTTGCCCATTTTTCTGTTGAGATTGCTTACTTATATATTGCTTATTTATAGGAGTTTCCTGTATAATCTAGTTTAAAGTACATTAATCAATGGCAATATTAAACATTGCAAATATTGGTCTCCCATTTGTCATCTATGTATTAATTTTGTCTGTAAGGTCCTTTGTTGGACAGAACTCCCTATTTCGATGCAATTAATTTTATACACACACACACACTCACACACACCCCAATTGGTTTGTGACTTGAGGTTTTAAGACTTTCTCCAAACGAGGTCATAAAAATAGTTTTAATTTTTTTTCTATTAACCTTTTGCTTTTATCTTCCACATTAAAGTGTTTAATTCATCTGGAGTCTACCTTTGTATATGATATAGACTAGAGATAGGCTTATTTCTCTACATACAATGAGCTTCCCCCTATCAGCACCACCTACCAAATAATAGTTTTATCTACTAGAAGCCCAGTGCACAAAACTGGTGTATTTGTGAGGGAGGTGGTGTCCCTCAGCCTGGCTTGTTCCCTCTCGCAGTCTGGAAGCCCTCAGTGATATCTGACTGCCAGCTTAAGCCCAGGAAGTGGTCCTGAGCTGGCAGTTGGACAGCCTTAGTGCTGCTTACAGAGGTGGGAGAAGCTCCCACCATTGCAGCTGCACTCACCAGCAATGAGCCCGGCTATATTATGCTTTAATTGGTTGAACAGATGATTAGACACTTAGCATATTAAGCTTTTATTATATAAAATTGATTGTGGTATTACCTTCATAATATAAGTTTCCACATATCCTTGGTTCTACTTCTAGGCTCCCTAATATATTTGAGTGATCTATTTGTTCACACTTTATTTCTATGGCTTTGTACTATGTCTTAACATTTGGTAGGGGAAATTCCTCTTTATTCCCCCTTTTTTGGGTTGACTTAGCTATTTATAAATTCTTTATTTTTCCACATATCATTAAGGATAAGTTTATAGAGTTCCTCAAAAAATATATAGCTAAAATTCTGACAGAGATTACTTGGAATTTATTGATAAACTTCAGGAGCTATAACATTCTTACAAGAGTAAATCATCATGTCCATGAACATTTCTTATGTTTTTTTATTTAAGTTTTAAAGGTTATTAATTTTTAATCCTCACCTAAAGATATGTTGCTGTTCTTTATTATTTTTAGAGAGAAACACTGATCAGTTGCCTCCTGTATATATCCCAACTGGGGATCAACCTGCAACCTAGGTATGGGCCCTAACTGGGAATTGAACTTGCAACATTTTGGTGTACAGGACGGTGCTCCAAGCAACTGAGCCACCTGGCCAGGGCTAAAGTTTTTTTGAAGGTAAATGAGTACACAGTCTGTACATATTGACATTTCTTTTATTTCTTTTTTAAGTTTTTTAACTGAGTTTTAGAGAGAGAGAGAGAGAAAAGAAAGGGGAGAGAGAAAAGAAAGGGGAGAGAGAAACAGCGATGTGAGAGTGAAACGTTGATTAGCTGTTTCCTGTACATCCCTTACCAGGAATCTAGCATGCAACCTGGGCATGTGCCCTGACCAGGAACTGAGCCCGGCAACCTTTTGGTACACAGAACAATGTTTAAAAAAAAACAAACAATAAACTAAAAAACTAATAAAGAAACGATAGCCCAGCCAGTATGGCTCAGTGAGTGAGCCTCGACCCATGAACGAGGAGGTCATGGTTCAATTCCCGGTCAGGGCACATGCCCAGGTTACAGGCTCACTACCCAGTAGGGAGCATGCAGGAGGCAGCCAATCAAGGATTCTCTCTTATATTCATGTTTCTATCCTTCTGTTCCTTTTCATTCTTCTCTTTAAAATCAATAAACATACTTTTAAAAAAAAGGAGAAAAAAAGAGATAAGTTAGAATGTCACCATTTTGCTACCTTCTAATAAAATAATGATCTAGACCAGCAATTTTCAAACTTTTCATCTCATGGCACACATAAACTAATCATTAAAATTGTGTGGCACACTAAGAAATATATTTTTTATCAATCTGACAAAAAATTACGTATAATTTTGATTCATTTAACAGGATGGCTATTGTCTTGGCTGTTGTCATTTTATTTATTTACTTACTTATTTACTTACATTTTTATTGAATTCAGAGAGAAATGGAGAGGGAGAGATAAAAACATCAATGATGAGAGAGAATCACCTGCATGCCCCCCACTGGGAATCGAGCGGCAACCCAGCCATATGACCTTGACCAGAATTAAACACGGGACTCTTCAGTCTGCAGGTTGATGTTCTATCCACTGAGTTAAATAGGCCAGAGCTTATTTTATTTTATTTTTTTTGAGAGAGAGGAAAGGAAAGGGATAAAGAGATAGCAATGTCAATAAGAGAGAAACATCATAATCAACTGACTTCTGCATGCCCCCTACTGGAGATTGAGCCTACAACCTGGGCATGTGCCCTGATCAGGAATTGAACCTCTTGGTTCGTGGGTTGACACTCAACCACTCAGTCACACTGGCCAGACTGTTGTCATTTTTAAAAATTTGAAAATCTAAGGGAAAAAAGGTCAGGTCCCTGACTAAATAGTCAGTTTATTTATTTTTAAAAAAATAAATTTTATTGATTTTTTACAGAGAGGAAAGGAGAGGGATAGATAGCTAGAAATGTCGATGAGCAAGAAACATCGACCAGCTGCCTCTTGCACACCCCTACCGGGGATATGCCCACAACCAATGTACATGCCCTTGACCGGAATCGAACCTGGGACCTTTCAGTCCACAGAATG